CTCTGTTAAACAAGTTGTTTGATTTATCACGTTTGATCATTATAATAAACCTTCGGTTAGATTCTCCTTAATACTGATGAGATCTCTATCACTTGATCATCCTACACTATCGGTGGGTAAACAAGGGATTTCATGAAAATCTTCATCGTAAAAGCAACACTACATCCCACAGATCATACACAACCCTTCTTAACTAAACTCTATTGAATAAGATAATTAAAGTTAGATCATTGTCACATAATAAAGACATCAAGGTATTTGCTGTTAGTTCAGACAAATACAAAAAAATTTCCAAAACTATACTAATACTCCAGCCATAAGCAACACTAGTATTTTGGTTAAAAAGAATAATATCCTGTGCCCTTGTCCCACTCATCAAGTATAAACTCGAATGACTATAGAGTATCGGTGATATTAATCCGAAATAAAATGATGATTTCATTGAACAGAAAAACTTTGAACTAGTGGTTAACAAATTAATGTCTGATTAAATTACAATTTATCTTCTGACATTAACTGAATACTTAATTTCCTTTGTATTTAATGTCATGCTTGATTTGTTTCTTTTTAAAGTGTACACATACATAGTAATTGATAATTGATTATATTGATTACTACGTTAAGTAACAATATTCTGAAGAAAAAAAAAAGAAATATATCTGATCATTAGTAAGTTGGAACTGGTTAATGAACATGAATCGATCTTTGTGTGTAACTTCACTTTGAATAGATTATTTCTATAATTTAATTCTATCTGTTAGTTAAATCAATTAATTTATTGATTTCGTAAATTATGTACTTGAATGAAATTCTTGAGTAATTGAATTACAATTAATTCAAATTTACCTGTTAATTGGATATTTAGTGGTTGTGCTTTGTTGACTAATTATCCTCGTAACCGTGATCATATAATCCTCAACGGTGTTTGAAATCAGAAGGCAAAGAGAAGTAGCGACTAGAGTTTTATTAGCAGATAACTCAGACCACAAAACCGTGAGGCGAATGAGTGAGTTAGCGAATCGAGAATGTAGTGTTAAATGTATGTATATATATATATAGGGAAATGAATGGATCATCGAGTCAATTAAGCAGTTGATAATAAAGCTAACAGAATGAATATATGCGTAGGCGGTAAGCAATGTTCAAGCATACATACATATTTCGTTCAAGCACAACAATAATAAAGGTACGGATGGCTCTGTCCGCTAAATAAGTTAACAAAAGGGCTTAACTGAATTAAATGAGAGCAAACTCAATTGCACGTGAGTTGCTATATATAGTTAAAATAATATACATTATCTTATTGTATCTTTAAATGTTATTTTGATCAATTATGGATCAGATATGAATCAATAGTTAATGGATAGATAAATCTTCATTAGTAGTCTTGCATTCTTCTTTGCATGGAACCATATTAGTCTTGTTCCGTCAAGTAACAAGTACTAGTTATTATTTGGCTAGAATATACAATCATATCACTGTAGCGATAATCAGTATTTTGTTCAAGTCATCATACACTTATCATATATTCCTTTATCACAAGTTAACATCTATTGCTCAGGTCTATACTGTATTCTTGATTTTTTTTCTGAAGTTTGAAAGAATAGTCTTGTGATCAGCTTCAAAGTATTAAATCGATAAAGAGATAACTAAGGATATTGACGGATAATTCCCATTTAAACATTAAAATTAAAACATGAAGTTTAGCAAAGGGATCTCTTTTCAACGAATTTATTATCAAGATTATTATCGGATATATTATATTATTATATTATATTATTAGAAGCTTTATTCAACATTATATTTTTGGTACAACATAGAATTCTCAGCATAAAGTATTTCAACAAGTTTCCTTTTCTTATACCTTGATCTATTGTGACGATAAATTTTGAATAATGACCGGTTAGATGTTAGGAGTTCGGTAATCCACATTTGATTAATGTTCGTTCGTTTCAATGCATATTGCCAGCCACCATGATGTCGATGATTGTACCTTTTTATATCACGTATAGCGAAAGGTTGTAAACTTTTCATAAACGCGCCTGAATAGATTGTGTGCACAATGGACATAATGATGAACTAAAACAAGCAACAAATCAGATAACTTGATGAAATATGTAGATCGGAGGAACAGGTAGCCCAGATATTCAAGCAGGCCGCCAGTATTACGGGAACATATCCCAGATTGGTTCTATAAGGGTGAAAGGAAAGCAGTTAGGAGTTCTATACTTGAACACCTAATCGACTGTAACCATTTTACAGATCCACAATTTGATTTTAAGGTTGTTTATATGATTCGTTCAAATCTAACCAGATTTCTTCGTATCCAACTCTTAAAAATAGTTGAAGCTCTTACCATCCAGGAGCTTAAACCAGAACTATGCGTACAAAAGAAGTACATCTTATCGTTATCGTTACCTTGGCCTTAATTATTTTGAATATCCTATTATTATTATTACAGCATTCCCCCTTTACTTATGTCTTACATTCTCATTATTTTATTCGTAAATACTCATCATATCACCTTATTTATTTTTACACCTCTATAACCTTTAATTATTATAACAAGAACATTTTAATCATCTTATTATATTCAATAAATCTATTGTTATCATTCGTATTACGTAATCTAGTATTACAATCTTTCTATTACATCATCTTGGCTAACTGTGTTCATATTTCCTCACGGAATTAGTACTTTAACAACAACATTTCATATATATACGAGTGTACAGCTTGTTAATAAATTCGTTGAAAAGAGATCCCTTCGCTGAACTTCGTGTTTTAACTGAAGATATGGAACATCGTTCATCATTGGCACAAAACGTTATAGAAATAAATGATGCTTTTTTTTCAAAAATCAGATGAATTTAGTTCTTCAATTCAACTTCACAACTAACAATGGAGGATGGAGTAAATAAATATTAATATTATATGTGTATAAATGAGTGAAACTGAGGATATGCAATAAATATCCTTTAATTATTTATGAGATTAGATGGTGGTTGGAGGTAGTCAACAGGAAACCCTGGACCCGGGTTTCATGATACTTAGCTTTATTTATGATTAACTTTAGCTATACCTACTTATCAGTAGTCTGGAATGATTTCACAGACTAACATTTCTCATAGTATTATTTATTTAAATGAATTTTAACAATATATTTAATTTGAAGATTGATCTCGTTCATAAATTTAAATATCAGAATGTCTATTTTATAATTCAAAAAATGGTGGTGAAATACTCCCCCCATCTACAGATCATGTTACCATGGAGTTATGAATCTTATTGTTTGTAATGATAGGAATCATATAGCACAGTTAACTTACTAGTTCAATAAAACACATATGAACATTAAGTTGACTACAAAGTGTGAATATAATCACCAACTACACTGTTTGGACCTGAACGCCTGAACAATAAAACAACTGAGAAGACCTTATTTAGTAGGCAAACGTGAGTGGGACAATATTTAAATTATAATAGTTGTTGCATTGTAAGTTACTGACGTTGCCTATTTAAAACCCTATTTTCAGAATGGAGTTGTGGGATTAGTAAATTTCATCTAAAACGTGAACTAATGGAAGTTAGACAACTATGGAAAGCCTAATAGCACTAGACGACTTTCTTCTTTCTTGTATAAGAATCCTCAATAATGAGCATCTACGGCTCAACACTCTGGACTCGAATCGAGGACCTTCGGTCTTACGCCTCTAACCCCTAAACCACTGAGCTTAGCCCGCATGTGAAACCGAAGTTGTCGGGCTTAGTTCCTGGGTGCGGGATCGTGGATGTGCACTGCGAAGGAGCCCCATACTAGGACGAAAAAGTCGTCCATCCAAGTTTCTAATGGTTGTCTAACTTAGATCAGTTCATGATTCTAACGAATACCCCAATGGACAGGGTTTGAAGATTTTGTTTCGTAGATAAAATACATGAAGAAATATCATACATAGAAGGCGTTTTATATGTAGTGCGGCGTCGAGTTGCGGTTGACTATGATCACCACTACAAGAAGGTTGCGTACCAGATATCAGAAGGTGATTGGAGGTTGTAGAGATATATATTTATTGGCGATCTCATGGTGTTGAAAGAATACCGAGATCGTGCTGAAGGAGAACAAGCGGAATCACGGAGCAAAAGTAAGTGAGTGCAAGGTCACAATCAACGGAAGGAAGTATGTATGTCCCCGGTACAATTGGTTATAATAATAATTGTCATGGTGATGCTTTTCAGTTACATTATCTCTTTAATATGGTTTCTAACTTACAGTAAAAAGAAATCCTATTCTCATTCATTCAAGATGTTAACTTAATTTTTTATGTTAAATAGGTGCCTTGATTATCACTCATTTGTGCTCACTAGTGACTAGCTTCGTGAGAAAATTCTCGGAGTTCTGGTGAGAAGTCGTGACCAGTGGAGCTAATCCGTGTTGGGTAGAAACAGGTGTCCACCTCAGTACAATGGAAGATGGTCACGCAACTTCCTGGATTGGTTGGGGTTAGACATTAACACCATTGGATGCCGGCTCAGTGGTCCAGTAGGTTAAGCGTTCGTGTGAGATACTGAAGGCCCTGGGTTCGAATCCCCCGAGCAGGATCGTGGATGCGCACTGCGGAGGAGTCCCACAATAGACTATATGGTTGAAGTAAATTAAACGATATCGTGTGACCATTATATTTTGTTTTAAGTGATATCTATCTCACTCCTGACAAAGTTGAACTCCACCGATCACGACTCATCACACAAGACTTCATAGATCTATTACAAAGATGGTCACTAATCAGCACAATATTAGTACCAGTATTATTATGATTAGAGGAAAGTAATGACGAAAATTCCATCCACAAACATCTGTTTCATCAAATCCATTCTAGTTTCCATTGTTTCTGTACATGTAAAGTCGGTTTATGATGAAAGATTTATGATCGGAAAAAACCTGAGAATCAACTCATTCCATGCTAATACATTTCTTTCGAGGTAATAACTGACAAAAGAGTTGGTTTTATTCTCAATTTATTTATTCATCGGTTAAATTAACAATATTAAACAAAATAAGTTACATTATAGAGAAAAATGAGAATAAAAAGATAGATTACGTCATCACAGGTAATGGTTACAGAGATTATTGAAAGACAAGCACTATTGTTCTATTGTGTAAAAATCAATCTGACCATTCTGAAGGCAACACATAATCCTCACAGGATCTTTATTGAAAGTGACCAATTTCGTAATTTGCTCGCCAGTTGGATAAATTTTGATCTAATCCAATAGACAAAAAAAAGGACGTGAAAATGTTTAAAAATCAATCCAAATGACTAACCACTAGTTTTTTCAGTTTGTGTCATTCTTAACTCCTCTTGGAGCCCCTCTTGGGCTACTGCCAATCCCAAGGCTAGATGAAGGAGGATGGTTAGCGACCCAATCCTGTAGAAAACTAACTCGCTAAAAATCGCTAACCACATAAAACAATTCAGACACGGCGGTGTTTCATTCTTTTATTATAAAAGTCACTTAAAATAAACAAAGAGATCGCACTCTACAAAATATTCTACAATATATTCCACTATAATTAAGCATACAGTCACCATCACCACACGCACAAACACACACACAATGAACAAAGTGCAACCTACTACTTCTAAAATGATGAGTAGGCAGATTTTTAGAGAAGTTCGGGATTACAAAGATCAAGTATTAGATGTTTACGCATCGAATCAAACTCTGAATGTATTTCTCTTACTGAGAATCGATCACGAGAATAAAAAGAGGAGGCTGTAAAACGAAGGAGGAATACATTAGAAACGACATAATGTATGCGTCAGCATAAATCACTACACTACAAATTAGCAATAGCGACAAACAACTGATAGAAAGAGGGTCAAAGAAGTGGAAATCGTAGGTTGTCGTTAATATTGTTATATGTCTATGTGATTGATTGTGACTTTTGAACAGATGAGTTATTCTAATGTTTTCTGTCATTCTGTCACTTATGCATGTGACCTTTAGCATATTATTCAAAGTTCAAAAGTTCACAACCTTACATAACAGCTTACCATAGTAATTCATTAACCAAGCCCTATAATTAATATTAGTGTTGTGACTTTAAGTTGGGTCGATTTTTACCCTGTGCTAATTGTTGTGTCCTTGACTGAAAAACTAGAGAACAGCGTATTTATCGACCGATTCAATGACACGTAAACACGTACGAACGTAATGGACGACCTAGAGTTACGATTGGTCCCGATTCCCTGCCTATCCCAGCCAGTTGAGTCCAGAACACAAATCTCAGCCTCTGAGTTATGAATCATTGTATTTCAGACATACTCTATTTATATACTAACCAAACATACCACATCGTACCATAAAAATAGAAAACAACATTTTGTACCATATTCAACAAGTGGACAGATATCGACCAGTAGGAAATGTCCATTTAAAGTCCAAGGACACCATTGGACTTAACATGATAATTATTGGTCTATCCTTCCACATCCACAACAATTAGGTACTTGGTGGTTCCAATATGTGATACTCAAGATATTTATGATTACATACCAGTAACCCATGTACCCACATATGTCCTCCTCTTCCAGAGGCTATGTACTACACATAGAAACACAACAGTTGTGAAGACATTGAGGTACGATCATAGTTATGAAGTTTTGGGATCTTCCATTGGTATTGTTATTATCTCACCCTTTGGTGAGTACATATCTTGTATATTACTTTAAATACTACACATTTATCACATACTTAAGTTTGGCCATGGAAAATTATCTGAAATACTAAAATACGAGTGTGTATTTGTGTAAAGTACATTTTTAATCAAGTTGAGATAAATTAACTACCAAATAGATGATTTTATCAAAATTCCAGAAAAAAAGTTTAATATAAAGACCATATGTTTATGGAATAAGGATAACGTTATGATGCTTAAAACGGTGAAAATATAATTTATAGACGACCTTTGAGAGATGCTAAACTAAACTTGAGAATGTCCACTTACCAACTAGGACTAAGTGAGGGTTATAAACCAGTGTGAGAAATAAGGATTATAATTTACAGTTAATGGTTAGGGTTGGGAATTAGATTTACGGTTTTCACCACGAACTGACATCGGCTATAGTGCCAAAACTCTATTTAGCCAAATGGATGAATGTTTTTCACGCGAAAATTCGAAACTCTTTATCTTAAATCTGATTATTTCGTCCATCAATTACAGTCCCGCCGCTTTTGAATCTACCGTTTGATTAAAATACTCATATTGCAATATGAAACATACGATAGAAATAAGGACAGTGATTATTCACTTCTTACCTGTTCCCATTTGCTTAATTTCGAATTATTACAAACATTGATAGAACATTTCAGCAAACGTAGAAAACTATCCGACGTTGCCAACAATAAATACACTATTAAATTTTCATTGTCAAGATGAGTTGAAGTGATACAATAAGCAGTGACTTGTAAATCCATTCCTTCCAGCTAAGGATAAACACAGTTACAATGTGATTATTTATGACCAGTAAAATTTGAAATAAACAATTCAAAATACTTCTTTATAAACTTTCCATCAAATAGTAAATTCATTTGGTGTGACACTGAAAATTAAAAAGCACTAAGCAGCTTCTTTATTCTTTGGTTGACAATTGATTCCTTAGTGAAAAGCATCAGTGATCGCTCCAGAAATTGAATTCACGAGCTTAAAGTGTTTCTGTATAGTCTACTATTAAATTTGACCATTGATTAATTATAAGTATCACGCTGTGGAGATAGTTGAATTTCATTGAAATTATGAGCTGATCTAAGTTGGATCGACACTGAAGATCTGAATGTGCGGGATGGCCAATTCTTCTTAGCACGGGACTCCTCAGAAATACAAATCTACAAAATTAACACCAAGGTCTAGACGTTAAGCGTTCACGCGTGAGACAGAAGATCGTGGATCCAACTCCCACGCGGACAGTCGTGGATATGCACTGCTGAGGAGTCCCATATTGGGACGAAACGGCTATCTAGTGCTTCTATGTTTTCAATAGCTGTCTAACTTGGATCAATTCATGATTTCAATGAAATTCAATAATCTACATAACCCTATATCCACAGTTAAATAACATAAACAATGTTCATAATAAAATAATTATATATAAAATCTATTTCTAACACCATTAACATAGATGAACTGAACTTTTTCACATTATAAAACTATCAGGTTATGTACCCACCTACACATTCATTCAAATATCATAATAACATGATATTAACATAACCAGACATGTTTTAATTGTAGTAAAAAACAAACATTAATTGAACCTAAGTTAATCAATTGCTAATGCATAATACTCACTGTTTACTACAATCTATATATTACATTGTGATTATGCTCAGAGCTTATTAACAAGGCATCTAAGAAAACTACTAGAAATATGAGAAGTTCACTTTAAATCTATGTTCAAACAAGTCATAGTAACTATTGAAAAGAATTTTTTTGCTCTACTTTTATGTGTAAACAATAGTAACTAACCGAAATATTCAATAGCATATGCTCATCACTATTAAAGAAGATAATCCGTGGTTCAGATTTTAATTTGCTTGTTACAATATAAAATCTAAATGAACAAAAAAGAAAAGAAAATCAGTTTGCCAAATTATAATGTTGAGTGTAAATATGAAATTTAACTGGAATGAGAACGTTCAGTTATTTATTTCTCCCTTCTTTTATCTAAAATAAACAAAGAAAAATTGGTTCCGTTACGCACTCTACACAAATCTCTATTTCATTCATCTGATAAGGCTTAGTATTGTATATCGATAATAAAGAGAAGACGATAGATCAAGTGTATAGCTATAACACAATGTATTAACGAGCAACTACTGCAAGACACATTGGGGATACTGAACAGTATAATATATAATCATAAACAGTAGACTATAAATATGAAGGTTAAATTTAGTCATACTACTTGAAGGAATAGATGAACACGCAAATATTGACGTTATGTTACGTCTATTACATGTTTTCTCGTTTAGACATTTGATAAAAAAACCAGACTTTAGTCAACCAGTCTAGGTTAATTACATTTGTAAGTTTATAAAAGTTGTTGTTACATGTAGTTCAGACAGAACTTGAGATATCATACATGTCTAGATTATTCAACATACCACCAATTTTAAATAATAACGTCGAAAGGTATTGGTCGATAGAAACTGATCAGAACTGAAGAAGGATTCAATATATACGACATTGATCACTAGGCGGTGACCAGTCAATTGGAAAAACAGGAGGTAGGTCGTGACCCGGATAGCTCGGTGTTAACGTCTCGAACTGTGAAGCTGAGTGACAGAGGATCGAATACATCAGGAATCACCGCTTACTTTAAGATTCAGTGTACACCTTGCTATCCAGTGCCAAATAGAATGAAACCTAGATCCAAGGTTTACTGTCGGCTCAGCTTTTTGTACTTACGATTATGCATACCTTTTCTATGAAGTTTTAAGCATCATAACAAGCCATTGATTCCATTTGTTATTTTATGATATAACGGCTGAATAAAAATATTTACTATTTCAGCCTGTTACATTAAGCTAATACAATAATACGGCCGGTGAACGAGGTTTCGCTACCACTAGTCTGGATACTCGATTGCTAAGTTGTATATTGACGATACCACGTTATAACAAATATACAAGTCACAATCAATAATACAGAATCGAAGCATATGATGGACAACACTATATTCAACACAATGACTAACAGTTACACTCAGTGAGTCCAAAGTAGAAATCAATAATAGGTAAGAAACCAAAAATTAAGTAGTCAACAAGATAGGTATCTATCTATTCACCCTCCACGGTCAGTCACATCTATTTTCACTGTCCACATATACTGGGACGAGACGGCCGTCCAATGCCTCCAGGTTTTCAATAGTTGTCTAACTTACATCAGTTCATCATGATTTTAATGAAATTCAACGACCTACACAACCTCTTACTGAAAAGCATTCTTTATGCTTAATTACGAAATAAGTTCATGACAAATATTTCTATCCATTTGTTTCAGAATTTTTCATTTTCTTTCTTCTAGATATACTACTGTATAAAATGGAACAACTTGTTAAAGGTACTCTACATTGTTTATCATCCACATTAGTGCTATGAATAAGTTTTAGTAGGTGTTTAAAACAATGGTGTAAAGATATTTTTGTAAGAACAAAATGAAACTTACAACTTGAAACTATTTCCGTTAGGTAAACAAAGTGGTTCAATTCTGTCAATATAGATATTTTCTAAATTATTGATAGATCCACGAAGTGGTGTGAATACATTTGCCTAAAATTTTATACGTAAGTATAAAAGATAGTTATACATTAACTAAAAACAATTCAAATATATAGGAAAAAAAGACGTTCGGTTCCAAATGTCCAGTTCGAATTCTATTCAAAACATTACCACATATGTGTATGATCTTGGTGTATTTTCATAAGTATCATTGCATTAAAAATACTACACAGTAATTAAATCTCTTAGAAACAAATCAGTATCCTTGTTGAATTCAACTCTGAATTTATTTACGAATTTCTATGTATTTGTTGGATATAGTTTTCGGGACATGTTCACTAAGCCTTACTTTTTACAAGATGCAAAATCTTAAACATTTGACTATCAATCAGGGCCATTGATGAACAAAGAAAATAAACAGAAAGAGAGACTATATATTTATGGATGAATCAATCAAATATAAGATAACAGGTCTTGGATTGTAGCGCAAAATTCATTCATCCATTTCGCTAGATAGCGTTAACTGATATCAGTTTGTGATAAAAACTTTAGATCTAATTTCTCACACTGGTTTACAACCCTCATTTAGTGCTAGTTAGTAGGTGGATATTCTCAAGGTTACTTTCGTGTCGCTCAAGAGTCGTCCATAAATTATAGTTTCACCGTAAATCCTACTGACAGTTTATAGACTAAATTACATATGTAGAAATACCATTACATAGTAGCTAAATTTACAGAGTTTGCTAAGTACACAAGTCAATGTTCAGTACTGAAGAACTATTTATTTTCTTCTGTAATAAACTACGCGACATTCTACTAAATGAAATCGGCTATTGGGACTTAACTCAGATGAATTGTGAAAGTAGAGAACACGTGTCACTTACATAAACATAAGATAATTCAGCAAGTTATATACTGAGTTAAAACAACTACGTAATAAGCGATATTACTTAACTCTTCGTACAATAAAATGTAGCATAGATTTGTGCATTTTGAATTAAATCTAGTTAAATTGATAATTATAAAAGAAATAAGTATGATACATAGAATATCACTTACACTATGATCATCAAATGGATGAAATAAAGCTGATCCATTATGTGCTACAAGTATACCATCTTGATATGTACATAATGAACTGCACCAATGACTTGAAAGATTACAGATAAATAAAATAAATATCATGCAGCAATATACAATTTTAATAACATGCATTATTATAAAAGTAATAAAATGGTAAACAACAAACCAATAACACTTAGTGAATATTGATAGTTTTAATGATGATTAAAATCAGTTAGTCTTGGAAAGCATTCACTTAAGTGACAATTTTTCATCATCATCATCCCTAAATCACCTTAAATATACACAAACTCATTGCAAATATTTGCTTTTATACAAGTAAAGAGTTGTACAAGAAATTACCTATTTAAAACCCTATCATGCAATCATACCCAAAATCATCAGGTTTCCAGACGAATGCTTTACATTGAAATTATCATTTTTCATATGATGAATTGCTAAAATGTTATTCGGAACTGGTGAGAATTTTAGTATAAGTATCAAATGAATAATAATAACCTAACGATATGAACGGATGATCATCGCACCATTTTGCGAGTTGACTTAAATTATAAATCAAACTTACAACAAGCATTGAAACTGATGATGATAATCTCTGGTATGGTTGTGTCTAATTATTACTAAAAAAAATCTGAAACACTGATGAAATCGATGCTCTAGTATTCTACAGTTGTCAATGGTTTTCCAAATAATGTTAATTGACACTTACTTGACAGTTAAAATATTGATTTATTAAATACTGAATAGATAATTCTTTTATGAAGGATAAAAGTTTTAAATGACTACAAAACATCTATTTCATGAAAACAGATATAAAGAAACATGAATCATTGATTACGATACTTCGTAATTTATTTATCATTTATTTAAACACATAAACATTGGTACAATGAGGCACCAAATATATACATATATGCGCCACATATCATTCGATCTATGTGAAAGTTAGAATACTATACGGGCACCCAAACCAAAACAGATGGTTTACTTAGGGGGTCACATCCCGAGTCTTTCACTTGAAGATCTGTAGTGTTAGACATTAGTTTTAGCCTATAATATATCTTATTCTAGTTTTCGGACATTCCATTCCATTCATTCTACTTGAGTCATATTTTGACCTTGTCAATTATTCGCTTATTAGCCTTGACTGTTTTTTATATGAGCGTATATGTGTGTACACTTCATGTCCCATGACTCATCACATGTCTGTGGTTTATTTTGTCTGCCTATAAATATTGAATAATGCCTGGCTCTGTTCTATTACATTCACTTTACATACAAAATATATGTATTCAAAGGCCATTCTCGTTAATTGACTTATCTAAATTTTGTTATTGACTAACGTGATTTAAGTCGACGATTATATACGAGAATAGGCGATAGCAAACACTTATACGATCTAAATAGAAGTCAGATCCACGGGCCACTAAAGATCTAATCTACAAGGTAGTGGAACAACTTTGGGAGATGCAGTCTCATGGTAACCAGTGACCAACAATAGGTTCGTACGCCGTTCGTTCCTTCAGGATACTGGAGCATATGTGCACCATTTGTTTGGATCCTCAAGATCGACGAATCCGGTTGAAGTACCAAACATTCACTTTCTGTCCTCTCGATTTGGTAAACAACACCCTCGCCACGAGAAGGCAGTGATGAGTAAGACTTCCCTAGCAGAGACTGTATACGCATGGCCATGTAAGAGCATTTCGAGAGGGTGAGATGACTTTCCCTTCCCTCGGCCATATCAAGGCTTTCAAGATTTCGTAGACAATTTCGTGATGCATTTTAAAATTAAAAATTTTCAAAAACTATGATCATTTCTGTTACTTTATGATTCGTTTGTCTAATTATTCAAATTCATGAATGAGCACTGCTGTGGAATCCTACAATAGGACGAAACGGCTATCCAGTACTTCCAGGTTTTCCATGGTGGTCTAGCTTCAGTTGATTCATGATTTCAACTATTGAAATTACTAAAATCTCCACAAAACCCCTTCTGATATTATCACATTTGTTACATAGATGTATGTGTGTGTATGTTGTATAATTCTTTATCTTATCCGTTGAATACGCTTATTCGTAATTGGTTTATCTGTTCATATACATTTTCAAAATATGTTTCCGGAACACTCATATTCCAACAGTTGGTAGACCCTTGTTGTTCTAAGCGTGTTAAGTTGACAAAATATACACGACATTAGTAAGGATCTACGTTTCATTAGTATCATCATTCATCAGCTTATGGAGTCAACATCTAGCTGTTACCCTGAATTGTCATAACGCATCAGTAGAACCAGATGAAATTAATAAAGAAATTAAAATCGCCGGTAGGAGCAATAATAGTAAGCGTAAAGAATGTAGTTCGAGAGGATGGAATGGGAAGTTAGATAGGGAGAACTGTCATGATCGAGAGGATGAAAGAGGGTGAATGTGTTAGCACAACTCGAAGACTCTACACATTAATATTCCATTTAAAATCAAGTTAAGATTAAGCTAGTGAAAGTGTGTTCATGATAAAAGATTCACCATCAATAAGAAAGTTTCGTCAATGAACAGTGAAACATGTAAAACAAAAGTATGAGCATGGAGCTTAACTGATTATTAGTGAATATTTAAAAACAAATGAGCTATCTACGGATAAGGGGCACGTAAAAAAATGCTGATATGTAGATAAACATTTACAACGTAAAATAAAACGAAAAAAAATCCACTTACTTATCTCCGACACGAAGGTGAATGAGTTCATCGTCTGTACGTTTAAATGGAATAATGACAATTTCACCATTGGACAAAAGTGCTACAACACCACACTGATTCATATTAACTGGTTCATGATGTAAAGCAGACATTTCGATAACGATATGGTCTGTTTTAAATCTTTATCGAGAAAAGAAAATCACAATATCATGTTAGAGTAAAAATAAAAGGATCATGGAAACACTTTAAATAATGAAATGATACAAATAACTACATTTCGTTATGAGAAATGTAACTTATTTATTAAGTCAAGACATTTCTATCAAGACATAACGTTTATGTGAGGATTAGTGCTACAACACTCGGGCATCTATAGCTAAGTTGCTAGAATAAAGTTTGAACATCAAACCCAACGGTTGAAAAACAAATAATTCACCCATTCATTAAGTCACTGTTCTATATCGACATATAAAAGAAACAATTAAAACATTTGTGTCTAAGTCTAAAAAAATGTCTGCATAAAAGCTACTTCATTCAATGAGTTCAACATTGAATTTTAAAAAAATCCAGCTTAATGTCTTTAAGTAAAAGACAATGTTTGTCTGCACGAAATATAAAAAGATGGTTAATTTTTTCAGATAAAACTTCACTGAAAGAAGCCACAATTAAGTAAATTGAATTCATTGAATTTACTCAATTAGTTCATACTTGAATCAAACCATTGCAAGTGACTGTACTCAATAAAGCAAGGATGAAGAATAGGAAAGCAATAAACATACGGAATATACACGACAGCGAAGCAATAAGTATTATACGTTGCATTATAAAGTGTTAGAACAAGCATTCTGTACTATTGTTGATATCTATCAAGTGACTGACACCCCTTTCGCCTATAGGGAACTGAAACTTAAAAATGAGAGTAATAAATATGACTGAATTCCACAATCCATAACAACATTTCTCATTATCTGGCTGTGAATAAATATTTATTTCTAAGTCTATTAATGACAAACATAGTTTGCACTGTGTTTGAATTACAAAAAATACTATGTGAGTGAATCAATAGAGTTAAGTAGCTGTGAAAAAAACTGTCTCAAATATGCAGTCATGAAACAGTGAGACACCTTGAGAATATCATTAAAATCATAAGCTGACACCCAAGTTAGAAAACTATTGGAAGCCTGGAAGCGCTGGACGACTGTTTCGTCCTACTATTGGACTCCTTAGATGTGTGCATCCACGACTTCACAAGCAGAGGACAAATCTGAGAACTTCAGTCTCGTGCACCACCACTTAACCTCTAGATAGCTAGTCGCGGGTAGGAGTGATATCCGGAAAGTGAGTTTTTTGCCTATTTAAAATTAGTCAGATGGATGTACCCTCATCCTAAGTGTTACTATTCACACTAAGTCTTGAATCGAATAACTTTCACTTCAAACATTCAACGGATTATTCCCTTAAGCTATAGAGTTCAATATATCTCTTTTCTAAAAATGAAGTACATATTTCAATAAATATTATAACGTTACCTTTGTATTTCAGCATAACCATCAATTGTTTTAATTGACCATAACGTATTTAATTCAACAATATTTATATCCAATGGTTTTCCATTTGAAAATAACTTTAATAAACTATTTTCCAAATCAATTTTATTAATTAAAATATCATGATTAAGGTGTATGTGCAATATTAAAATCTCATAACCAAAAGCAATAAAAATGAAATAATCTATTTCCTTTTCTTCATTATTCATTGTCCATGATTGTGTAACAATACTATTTATACTATATCTTGGTTTCATATCTGAATTAATTAAACGTATCAATGGTTGATATGTAGTGGTAGCAGTAGTTATAGGTTTTATTGATTGAGAAGTTGATGAACCGCGAGCAGCCCAAATAATACAATCACCATCAACTGAACCAGTTATACAAAGTTGTAAATTCTTTGTCACATACAGATAATTAGCACATATAACTGGTCCAGTATGTTGAAGAGTTGGTTTACCTGAAGAAAACACGTAGGGGTAACATTGTAAGATTTATTAATTTTTCTAGGAATATTATCAAAAACATATCAAGACAAAACCATCCTTCTGTAAATGACAGGAATTATAAAAGATCTTGTAATGATACTGTGGTTTTACCTTACTATAAGGTACACAAACCCACCAATGACAGCAACGACGATGATAAAGACCAGCTCTATGAAAAGTTGCAATCAATCTTAGCGAAGAGCCCAAGAAAGGACCTAACCATTAGGATGAGAGACCTAAACACCAAAGTCGAAATGGACAACACTATAAAGATATCATGGGACGAAATGGACTGACTAGAAGAAACGAAGCAGAATGGTGAAAGATCCCCAAATTTATGTGCGTTCCACGAAATGGTTATAGGTGGCACAATAGTCCAACACAAACGCATACACAAAGCTACATGGTTCTCACCAGATCACGCTACACAGAACCAGATATATCAATAAAAATTTCAGAAGCTTCATGGAAAACAAAAGAACAAAGAAAGGAACTGACACATCTTCAGATCACCACCTGGTGATTGACAAGGTGAAAGTGACGCTAAAGAAGCACTGGGTAACGAATATAGCCTTGCTTTGAGATACTCACAAACTCAACGAATTCTAAATAGATCCCAGTAATGGGTTCCAAGCCTTACAGGATCTACGGAAGAAAGAAACTACGATGGAGCATTAACTTCAATGTATCAGGAGGCTCTGGGCCGCAAGAAGCTTCATCATAAGGAATAGATTTCTATCGAAACCAGAGTCAGAATTCAAGAAAAGAAAAACAAGAAGACAGCAATTGACAACGACCAAGCAAAAGCAGAGAAAATCAAGGCACAAGCTGAATGCACTGAAGCGAGCAAGCAAGTGAAGAGGAGCGTTAGAACCAGCAAGCAGAAATACGTGTAAGAGCTATCAATGACACCGAAAAAGCTGCAAGAGAAAGAAAAAATATGAAACAACTATGTGACACGACAAAGAAACTAGCAGGAAGAGATCGGTTAAAAACAAAGAAGGCAAGCCAATAACTGAAATTCAAGGACAGAGGAACAGATGGGTGGAACACTGAGGAACTCTTGAATAGACAGCTCTATTAAATGCACCGGACATCGAAGCAGCACCTACAGATGTCACTCCACCAACGATAAAAGAAATCACGATGGCGATCAGACAAATCAAGTCCTGACAATATACAAACTGAAGCTCTAAAGTCAGACATAGAAGCAAATGCAAAGATGAGCCACGTTCTATTCAGAAAGATTTGGGAGGAAGAACAAGTGCCGGCAGACTGGAAAGAAGGACGCCTCATCAAGATACCAAAGAAACAAGATCTGAGCAAGTGTGAGAATTACAGAGGCCTCATATTACTGTTAGTACCAGGAAGGATTGCTGAACTGCATGAAAGATTCAGTAGACGTCCAACTTCGAGATCAACAGACCGGATTCCATAAGGATCGGTCGTGCACAGACCAAATCGCTACACTGTGAATCATCGTTGAACAGTCAATTAAACGAAACTCGTTACTATACATCAACTTCTTTGACTATGGGAAAGTATTCGACAGTGTTCATAGGAGGACCTTATGGAAACTTGTTTGACACTGGTGTACCTGAGAAAATCATCAATATCATTCTTAATTCATACGACGGATTATATTGCGAAGTGGTGCATGGAGAACAACTGACAGATGCATTCCAAGTGAGGAGCGGAGTCAAACAAGTGTGTTTACTTTCCTTTTTTCTTTTTCTTCTGGTGGTTGAATGGTTTATGAAGACCTCGACATTTGAGGGGAAGCATAGAATACAATGGACAGCTCAAAGTTAATTAAAAGATTTAGACTTGGCAGATAACCTAGCTCTTCTATGCTATACACACAAACAAATGCAAATGAAGACAACTAGTGTAGCAGCAGTAGACATCAACATACACAAGGGAAAAAACCAAGATCCTCAAATATAAAAAAGAGAACACCAACTCAATCTCACTTGATGGAGAAACTTTGGAACAGGTGGGATCTTTTACATACCTAGAAAGCATCATCGATGAACAAGGAGACTTTGATGCAAACGTAAAAGTGAAGATCGGCAAAGTAAAGACAGTATTCCTACAGTTGAAGAACATATGGAACTCAAAACAGCTGTCAACCAATATAAAAATCAGTACGAACGTCAACACAATTCTAATGTACGAGCTGAAACGTGGAGAACTACTAAAACTGCCATCAAAAAGGTACAAACATTTATAAACAGCTGATACTCAATGTCCGTTGGTCAGATACCATCAGCAACAGCCTACTTTATTAGAGAACAAACGACTTTCCAGCTGAAGAGGTAGTTAGGAAAAGACGTTGGAAGTGGATAGGACATACATTACGGAAATAATCAAACTGAGTTACGAGATAAGTGCTAACTTGGAATCCTGATGGGAAATAGAAAATTGGAAGATCCAAGAACATGGTGCGTGAGGAATCGGAAGCAGGCATCAAAAGAATGAATTGCAATTGGAAAATATTGTCTAGGATAGAGTTGTATGGAGAATGCCGGTGGGCGTCCTATACTCCTCCACGAGTGGCAACAGGCTTAAGTATGTAAGTGCAAGGTACACAGAAGAATTTTAACGGATCTTGAAAACAGAGAAATAAAGCTTTTTATAAAACAACCAACACTTTATGGAACGCTTTGGTTAGAATAAACTATAAGATCCTGTTTACATCTACACAAAATTGACTAGGTTATTTCAATTGTGATGCGTTCTACATTGAAGAGACTTCTGGTGACATCTTAACTCGTCCTAAAGAACATTTAAGTTACATAAAAACACTTAATAATCCTGTAGAATTGGAAAAGTTACAATTGAAACTAATAATATTAGTACATGTTATTTTCAATATTCATCAAATTGATATTAAAAATAACAAAATAATTTAGGAAGGCTTTTTCGACTATAAAGAGAGGCGAGTAGTCGGAAGGTTTCACACAATGCTAAATTCCTCTGCACTCAATAAGAAATAAGGTCTGAATATTCATCCAAAAACCACATTGACACTTCATTTTCCACACAATCTACATACATACATACACACACACAAATATTCGATTTGAACCCCACTACTTCGCGTTAATAATTATGAATTTTTCATACCAAGCTTCTGAGGCACAAATTATTACAGTGACATGTCATACAAATTCATCTTGACCAAAAATAATATGACAATTATGATTTCGATTGTACCAAAAATATTCCATACTGTTTCCTTTGTACAATTTAAACTTGTAATAATTCTATTTCGGTTATTTGTCGGTTTACTTTAAAGAAGTGAGTTACAATTAGTCACGAAACATCAGGAATACAATTTTCTACGCATTGAGATATTACAAAAAATATATTTATTATTAACTATTCTGAAGTCTATGGCAAACAAACAGATTGAGAGAAGAGATAGTTTATTATGTATTATGTAAAGTATTAGTAAGATGTAAACAAGCTACAAAGCAAATTTTATCTTAAACTCTGAAAGAATTTGAGTTTTTTGTAAAGAGATTTTCCAGAGTGAAAAATTTAATGAAAAACACTTTTGAGAGAGTATTTCCACAAATTAAAGTTCGCGTCCCTTCCAAAAAATAAACAGATACATTTCCACTTATAGTGTGTATTATGTAAGAAAAAATCACTCAAGACAGAATTACATACTGTGAGATATCAAACAGTTGAAATAATATTGTCACTTACATGATAAAGAACTATTCGATAAAGGTAAATTCCAAAGTCGAATATCACAGCCAATTGTTTTAGAATCACAATTTTGACCAGCTACACTGATAAGTAGTGTATCATCATTATTCGAATTCAGAGGTTTTGTACAACTTAATCCACAAGGAATTAAGCCAGCATGACCACTTAGAGTAGCATGATATCCTGTAAGTGATGGTTCATATACTCGAAACTGAAACTCTTGAATATTACGTGAATCGGAAATTGTTTGACCAACCAAAAGTTTCACATTAGTCTCGTCAAGTAATTCTGACAAGGAGCCACGACGATTAACAAATTTGTCAAAAATGTGAGATCTTGCTGATTCATCACTATTGAAAGAAACATTATTACACTCATTCACAATCACTAGATCTTTCTCTGAGCATTGACTTGGTGTTTCATCGGAATCCTCATCCATTAATTCATCATTATTTAAACAGCACTGATCAGGAGTTCCTTTCACACTTTCTTCGTCGCTAACTAGATTTTCATCCGTAATATCCTGATGCTGTAAACTGTCATCTTCATTGTTATTAATATCATTAGACGATAATGAACGTGGATTATTATTGGAATCCATAGTATCGACCACAGAATCTTTACTTTGATGAGGTTCTAGTTCATCGTAAGAATTGATAACATTTTCATTGTTCGCTAAAATGAATGATATGAATGAAATTAATATGCGCAAACAACGATAATATAAAGTATTTCTAAAAATACAGTGACTTCAGTGAAAGAATCACTGAGAACAGAGAAACACTAGATATTTGCTTCATTTTTGACTTACATATTCACATTAAAACTATGTGTATATTCATGACTTTGTCATGAGTCCCGACTTTTTCTGATACCTTGACATGGTGATCGAGCTTGCATATTGTTATGAACCAATCGAGCTGTACCAGCTGAAACAATCGTTCCTCAAGCTCCTAACATGCCAGACCAGTCGGTCAAAGAGCGGTACGACTAAAGGCATATATATTTGGTGCCCCCTTGCAGCAATATTTATGTGTTTAAATAAACAAATAAAAAAGCAGCAAACTCAAGGACCGAGGGCGAAGTCTTACTGCTGAGTTTACAAAGGTGGGACGGCAATAAAGTGTTTCTTCAAACAACTAGCATAACAGCGATGCTGCCTTCCCACAATGAAAAGGTAGAGAAGGTAGTCCGTAAAAATGCACACCTCATCTCATCCCACGGATTTCCGTCTCCAGTGGTAAGGTCTCAACAAGTATGGAGCTAAAACGAAAATAGCTCACAAAAACGTCATGTGTGACCGGCTATAAGTAGTTGTCCCTAGGGCACTGCGATCACGCTCTCAGGCCACTGAGAACACCCCTAACCTAATTTTCCTTTCAGATATCTCTAGAAAAACCCTTCCATGGAGTGGGAACCGAAAAGTGATAACCCCTCTCATACTTCTAACAGCACTCAAGATAACTATATTCATAATCGATCTCCCTGTTCAATTCCTTTTATTCCTCCTACCTCGAGTTTTAAATCCGAACTCCCTCTTTTGACTTCCTCCTCAAGTGTCACCATGGCCAACAATTCTAGTGCACGAAACATTGTCCCAGGTTTACTGAAACCTCGCTCCAAACTACACATTGGAGCAACTGTGTTCAGACAATTGTTTATTTTTAACAAGCACTTTTCAAACGGAAATATTTTCTACAAATATTTTCTTTCATAAAAATTAACATACATTAAGATTGAGATCATGAACCGGTATAAGCAAGACCACCATTGAGAACCTGGAAGCACTGGACGGCGGTTTCGTCATAGTATGAGACTCATCAACAGTGCGCACCCATGACCCCGCTCCAACTACTAGAAATCGTACTTATGTGCATAGTTTACACCAGTGTATACAAATCAATGTGAACGCTTAGTGCACTGGTAATTTTAAAGTAGATTTTATTTAAATGTAAAATATAATCAGTTTGATAAAAAGGAATAAGAATGATTATCAACAGACGTGTCATTAAACAACAGAATCAATGTTCAATGAACTGAAAATGAAACATACCTACTGATGATATAGCCAAAAACGGAAAAAGTAAAGAGAGCAGTTCAAACAGTTGACCAAGTGATTGAAAGTGAATTTAGCATTAGGGAAAGATAAATTTAAATCTACTAACCGTGTAAGAAGCACTACATCTCAGAAACTGAATGTCTCCTTCAATTACACACATTTAATCATAAGTTATCAATTAAATGTATATTAAATATATTACCAACTATATCAATGCAGTTATACAGCTATATTAGCAAGCCACGCTTTAAATTCGTAAATTATTCTCGACAAAAGTGAGATCCCTTTTCAATATTCAATAAAAGTCCAATATCTACTTTTTCTGACCATTTTTATTTTGTTCATTTAGTAAGTCAGTACTATATATGAGAACATGATTATCATTGATTGCTTCATTCTAATTATCTAGGGCAACCTAAATATGTATTGTGTGAACACGACACTGTAGTAAATCTTAACTTACAACATTAAGAAGGGAACAAATACAGTGAAAATTACGGCTTGAAATAGAATCCTCAGTTAAAATGATACTCTTATATACAGTATTTAATCGGTAACGAAATGAAAGGGAAAAAAAACAAGCTAAATATTGTAAAATAAATATATTGAACATTGAAAAATTGATGTGTTACAAATTGACACAACAAAAGAAAAACCCATTCTAACTTACATGAATAATAACAAGGACTATATTCAAATGATTGAATTTTAATAAGATTCACTACATTCTCATTGGTTGTATTCGAGTTCAAGGTGTCTAATGGTGATGATATTATCATTTCACTGATAAGTTCAAAATGTTCATTTCGACCACAACGCCATACACTTATATGACCATTAGATGTAGCAGAAAAAATATAAGGATACTACAATTTTGAAATTTAAAAGAAAGAAAGAAAGAAAGAAAGAAAAAACTAAAACATGGATCTTTATTTTGATATACTTTGAATTAAATACGTGTAGGGTCTGATGTATGAGATAAAAAGAGAAATTATTTGATGTGAATACTACAAACTAAATAATGATGACTTAAACTTAATATCCTTTATAATTACTGTTTAATTTTATGTGAAAAACACAGATTAAGCAATGAGCATAATAGAGATCGATAGTGACTAACAATGAAATCCAAGACGAGCATTTCATCCACTACTAGACACTATCCATCTCCGCTTATAATAATTAAGACTTAAAACAATATCGAAGCAATCCACACAGGATGCCAATAGGAGACTGATCAATTTTGAGTCCTAAACATAAATAGGAAGATTCAAATAACCAATACAAAAATGCAATGAATATACTAGTTTTCATTTAAGCTGTGATGAATATAGGGTTTGGACAAATTGATTACCCCACTACTTTTCTTTTGTTTTATATTCAATACGATTAATCTATGCGAATTTCCAACTTGCTCCTACACAAGTTTACCACTAATAGCTATCAGAATGTGATTAGGATAAAGCTAATGAAGGTAAATGATTTGTTAATTTCAATTATCACTAGGTCTCATGGGGAAAAAGCACAACTCTATTTTAAACTCGAATATATAAATCGGTGTAGCTAATGAATGGTTGGCTACAGTTTTGCTTCTATAAAACACGCACACAAACATACACATAAAAGAACAACAAACACAAACGATTAGCAATATAACCATCCATAAAACTTACATTGAAATCAAGTGATTTAATGCCAAGTTTATATGAAACAAGTGTTTGTTTCAATTTATATTTCTTTGATTTAATTCTATATAGATGAATTGACTGATCATTACTTCCAACAAGTAATGTTAGTTTTCTGTCATGCATTTTATGCGGAATATATGACCATTTCAATGATATAATCCAATCTTTAGAAGCATTATGTATGATGTATTGAAGTTTTACTTTTGCAGTATTTGAATCATAACTGTAGATAGCTACATTCTGGTACGTACAAAAACAGAGATCTAGTTACAGTGAATTCAATCTAATATTTTAAACGATGAACAGACTAGTTCATCAATCACTGAACATTTGAATGAAACGGTTACAAAACAAACTTATGGAGCATCGACTTAGTGAACAATGTATTTGATCGGCAACAGTTAAGCTTCTTATATTTGATCACTTTGATAACCATGCTAACTCCCTTTAACAAACAACTACCTGGATCAATGAACAATTATTTTATCCTTTGGATATGAATAAGTAAATGACACTACGTAGAATTCAAAATTAGACTTAAGAAATATAATAGTTTTCCACATTTGAAACAGAATTCCATAATCATCATTTCCAAGCTCAACCAATTTGTGCTATATTGCAGAGTCATTGATAATATTTACGTATATAACTATTTCTCATTCGACTAAATTTTTATTTATTTATTTACACACTTAAACATTGGTATAATGAAGCACTATATATATATATATATATATATATATATATATATATATATATATATATATATATATATATATATATATATATATATATATATATATATATATATATATATGCGCCACATATCATTCGATCTATGTGAAAGCTAGAATACTATACGGGCACCAAAACCGAAGCAAATGGTTTGCTTAGAGGGCCACATCCCGAGCCTTTCACTTAAAGATCTAATCCACAAGGCAGTGGAACAACTTTGGGAGATGCAGTCTCATGGTAACCAGTGACCAACAATAGGTTCGTACGCCGCTCGTTCCTTCAGGATACTGGAGCATATGTGCACCATTTGTTTGGAATCAGGGTTTACCAACTCCCCTAGGTGGATCCTCAAAGTCGACGAATCCGGTTGAGGTAGCAGACATTCGCTTTCTGTCCTCTCGATTTTGTACACAACACCGTCGCCACGAGAAGGCAATGAGTATGACTTTCCTAGCAGAGACTGTATACGCATGGCCATGTAAGAGCATTTCGAAAGGGTGAGATGATCCTCCCCACTCTCAGTCGTACTAGTTTCACAGAGTACAACTAGAATATTGAGATCATTTCAAAGTCAGATACTGATGAACACATGATTAGTGTTTAAGTAAGTAGTTTATAGACATTTATTTAATTTAAACATGTATATTTTATCGCGAACTGATACAATCTTGAGCTAATAAGAATTGTGAAATGAAATAAATCAGTCTTCTTAGATAGATAGAGAAAAAGAATCAAATGAAAGATGATAATGTTAAGGAATTAATATATTAGTATTAAATGTAGAAGTCTATGAAAATGAAGCAGTAATGAATAACTTAGTGAGGTTGCTAAAGATGATTAAAAAGTTAAAAGTATTGAATAGAACGGTCTATAAACAGAAGTGTTTTATTTCAAAGTGATTCAGAGTGGATCAAGCAATCAAAAATACCAAGAAATAAACTTACATAGCAGTTTAGTGGTTAGAAATAGTAACAATTAATAATTAAAAGATAACTGTCTACCTTAATGAGAAGATAGTGAAGAATGAGATAATAATTGATACGTAGTATTTTTAGGATTCGAAGTTGTACTTAGATCATGAAAGAATAATGGATTGGACTTGATTCTTTTGTATGCGGTGGATGTGTTTTGAACGATGAATAGCTCTAGTTTCTTCATCCAAAGGCTTTTTCGAGCCACTTTTAATTTTAAAGATGATTTTCAGCGACCATTGGCATGTGATGACTAGAGTTGATACCGTGTTCAGAGATTGTGTCGTTGATCGATTTTGTATTCCTGTTTAGACAGCTATGCAGGGTAGTCTCCGAAACTTCGTTCATCATGCGCACGACTTGTACGGCAAATATAAGCCGATCAACAAAAGCAAGTAAACTGATAAATGTACATTTAAGTAGATCAAGGAGGAAGTTGTTTATCGTTGACATTTCCTCAAAAGTGTTTCTTCCTGCAGAAAACAATTCAAAATATCACACTGTATAAAAAACTTTCTCGGAGAAAGGGTTGTACTTCAGTATCTTCACGGTCGTATCTCCCTTGAATTCGATGTTCATGAATAAAACTTCGAAATTGAGGACTACATTCAACTTGACATCTTGATTTCAGATGACTATTAATGTACCTGGACGAAAAACTGTTGTCCGAAACTGTTCGTCGGATTTTATTCAACTCAAAATCAAGAATTATCACAAATAGAAAAAACTTTCAACATTTATAGATATGGAGGAAATACATGTAAATATATAAATAAATACCTACTATTACGCACACACTCCCAAAGGTCCCGTATAAAATGAAAGATGATTGGAAAGATTAGAATAATTTATCTGCCCAAAAGTTGAGGAAAATAGTGAAGGAGTGTAATAAAATAGAAGCTGCTATACATTCAAAATGAGGACAACCATCTTTTTTCAGTGTTCAATAAAAAACAATGTCTACTTTCTTCGAATATTTTTTCCTGTTAGTTTAGTGGATCACGGAGCATTTTATTTCAATTATTTGAAACTATCTACATCTGTCATCTATGAACACGATGCTGTGGTACATCTTATCTTACACGACATTAAAAAAGAGACAAATACAGTGAAGATTACATTCCGAAATGGAATCCACGGTCAAAATTATACTTTTATATGCAGTATTCACTGGCTAATTAAACGAAAGGAAAAAAAAGCTAGATATCGTGGAAATATATTAAACATTGAAAAATCTATGCGCTACACATTCACAAATTTATATCCTGTTCCTATAATTAACAACAAAATTAAAACACTAACTTTATCTTTCGAGCCAGTAGCTATAAAATTCATTTGTACTGCGACAGCAGTTATTTGACCACTATGTTGTCGAAGACAAATTGATCTTACTAAGGGATTTTTTAACTTGGAACCAACAAAATACGCCCATACTTCACAATTCCCACCTCCGCTAACTGCGATAGAATTAGAAGCAGATGCGCATAGAGTACCACCAGCTTCACCTGTCCCATTCTCTGCATGTTCAATAGAATGTGACCAAGAAGTATACAAAGGTACAATGGATAAATTGCAAATAGAATGTATATCAGACTGAACAGTAGAGTTATCATCTCGTTTTGATTTAATTTCAGGCTTAAAGCTAAAGTGATATAACTAGAAAAGAGAAAATAAATTACAGTAATAAATTGAATGGACAGACAAAATAAGAAAGTATGATGACATATTTACATTTAGATATAGATAGGACAAAATTCATTAACAAAAGTGGAAATTCAATGACCAGACATAATATATGATGTACACAATAAATCTGTTATTCATTGAATGTTATGTCCATAAATATATGAATAGAATTTCATAGCAAGCTACATCGACAGAGATTGTTAGGGTAAGTAATAATTACGTCTGACCAACGCCTAGGTAGATGGACGATAACTAGCTGGTTTAAGAGTAGGTTGGAAGAAAGGTAGAGGAAGGAGGGGTGTGTATCATTTTAACTTCATCTCGGCGTGCTAATACGGTCGGGACGTTGGGCCTGCACATATCTATTTCAGATTATATGTTGATTATAACTGACTGATTGACTATAACTCAGACAATTATGACTAGGTAAGTCCAATATTATAACAATTCACTGCAACTTATACAAGACGGTGTGTTGACTACAATAAAGTATTTCAGGAATAAATATTAGTTAAAATATAAAATTCAAATCAACTGTAATTTTCAGAAGAGGTTTTGCGGAGATTTTTGTAATTTCAATAGTTGAAATCATGAGCTAAATGAAGCTAGACAACCATGAAAAGCCTGGAAGCACTTGACAGCCGTTTCATCCTGGTATGGGACTCCTCAGCAGTGCGAATTCATGACCTCATCATAGGCGATCGAACCCAGGACGTTCAGTCTTGCGTGCGAACAATTAACCTCTAGATGACTGAGTCGGCATTCAATGGTATGACTAGTTTTGAGAAGCAATTCTTTGAGTCCTAGTGAAAAGTTGTGATCCGTGGAGCCAATCCATGTCGGGTGAGAGACAGTCACCAACTAAAGACAATGGGAGGTGATTACTCAATGTCATGGGTTGATTAAGGTTAGGCATTAACGTCGGATGCGGGCTCAGTGTTCTAGAGGTTAAGCGAGACCGAAGGTCCTGGTTCAAGTCCTGCGGGAGGGTTCGCATATGTATATGGTATTCGGTGGTGAAATCAATATATTCATAGTCGTCAAGGGACTTTATTAACCTCACCAAAGGTTGTTTAGTATGGCATACTCTATGTTTAATCGAATCTATGTTAATTGAGTAGTGTTAAAGTGAACGAGGGAAATTTGACAATTAACTATTTTTATAATGAGTATCGATCAACCATATAAAAGAATTAATTGATCTTCAATGTTTCTGGAGCGTGAATTAAAATGTACTTAGGTCTCTAGGACTAGCATCTCACCTAGTCGGAGTACTAGACAACGTGCAACTCAACAGCTTGAGACACCATTATCATGTAATAAAAGACATGGAATAAAAGACAGTGGGGTTTCCTTTGTAGCATCTTATTGCATTCTGCATAGAAGTGCGATGATCTTTATTCTTGGGTGTATTTTCAAGCGAACCACCACGGAAAACCTGGTGGTCTAGCTTCAATTGACTCATGATCTCAACTATTGAAATATGCAATTATATAATAAAGAATAGATACTTTCATGAGTATCTGAAAAAATCTCATAAACACAAGCACTAGGTAGGGAAGTTGTTTTCAAATGAAAATTTTGTGATAACTTCATAATAAAAAAACCAGCTCAACGAAAACTATGCAAGCATCAGGTTATTCACACTTCAAGTTAGACCATAGAACAAATATCGTCATTATGCCAAAGAACATTCAAATAATACGATTATTGGAAACATAACAATCAAAGATCAATCGACACCTAATTCTGAACATTAAGTGACCATTTTTAGACCAGAAAATTATCCCTTTTTAGATAAAGGTCTGCTACAAGAACGTTCAGGACTGGCTTCCTAGCTCACCTTCATAAACCTGGACTACTTCTACACGTAAAATTAAACAATACAAAAACGGTGGGGAAATGTTGGTAAAAGCTTTACGTTAATGCTAGTTTATATACAGAAAATTTATAGAGTTGTACAAGATCATGCACTTCTATAACTCTACAGAAACATACCGAACATAGCAACGGTTTAAATAATTATCCAATCAAAACGTGACACGTGCTTATCCACTTTATAGATGTTCTTGAAAACCCTTTTAGTGCTGATTATATACGAACCATTTCCTAATGTTTTCTGGGCTTTTAGGTACTTCAACGGAGGATATATCTTTGGACTCCTGAACAACATGCACATATGACATAATAGTCAAAACTGAATTTTGAAACAAATTAAATAGGGTCAAATCCATCATCGAAACAAAAAAACTAACCCTAACTGCACCAGATGACCAGCCAACAACGACAAGATTAGCATCATCGCAATAAGGTGAAATACCACAAGCGATAGCTTCAACAGATGAATTATCGTTTATCAAAGGAATTAATTTATCCGAACTGAATACAGTATCACCATTGGTCATTAGAACAATAGTGAAGAGACCATCATTCCATCCAATTATGATATACTTTCCACTTATGTCAATAGTATAGGTTGTGACAAATATAGTTCGTTTCATTTCTTTCTTAATGCGACTAACGTTAATCCATGGACCTACAAAGAGAGAGAATAAACGCCCTGGTTAATAATAAATGAAAAATGCAGTTTAATGATTAAAAGAATCGGTTTATCATCGTTCGTTCACCAGTTCCAACTCTGCACCAGGAACTTCCATTTAAGTTAACTGGTAGTATCAATACCAAATACATAAGCGGTATAAGTCAAAGCGGCGAACGAAAATCTAAACAAGATTATTTTCATTTAATTACATAATAATTAGTTAGTTAGTCAATGATCAATAAACTCGACAAAATACAATCCAGCAGAGCAGATTCTTTCTTGAGTATTCTTATAAATCAGAGGTGAAAATATTCTGCAGCTAACACACAAAAAAAGACTACAAATAACAAGTGCTGAAGAGAAAATGAATCCAAAAGGTACAAAGAAATCTAAAACAAATAGTCATATATATGAATCTTTAACGTTTATATACAATTTGTTATACATAATACACAGTTGTTGAAGTTTGACTTATTAATGAGTATATTTTTCATTAAAAACAAGATAACAATAAACACTACTATTCATTATGTTACCTAATGATAAAGATACTCCAATTATGCCTCAAATAAATAATTATAGGGACAAAATGAGAATGACAGAGAATCCTAATGAATACGATAATAATACGATGAAGGAATGGCTTAATGAATTAACGACTTTTCAAAATCACTTTCAAACGTATTTACGGAAGCAAATAATTAGGAAGCATTGAAAGGAGAATTCACTGTATACATTACTCGAAAGTCTTGTTTGAAAGGAAGTGAAGTATTTATAAATGAAATCACTAGACGCTTAATGGGTAACGGATACAACGTGAACATCATAAATCAATGTAAAATAATGAATAAACAGCGATCACCACTTTTACTATGCGTTTCTACAGAGGTCATTATTATCAAGCTCTTTCGATCTCACTTTTGTGTTTAAACTCTCACTGCCAATGGGTTAGACAATTTTATACTATTTGAGAAGAAAACACTTTTATAAAAGACATTTGAAAAACTAATTGATAAATACTTTTGAGCAAAGAAAGCAAATTATCACAGGCCATTTTTAATGAAACAATTTACCTACCTTCAGGTGCACCGAGATGAGCATTCCAAACATTGATTCGACCAACTGATGACCCACCGCCAGTTTGAATGAGATAACGTCCAGTTGGTTCAGAGAAACATAATACTCCCTTTTGATTCGGTAATAAATGATGCAGTTCATCAAGACAAGTGAATTCATCAATTGATGAAAAAGTAACATTTTCAGTTAACCGGCCTAGATATGCAAATGTATTCGCATTTAAAATGAAACTTTGACCTTTTCTGTCAAGAATAGCTAACAGTCTGCCACCATTCGGCGAGTAAGCCAGTGAACAAATAGCAGATGTTGAGATTGCAAGAGACTAGAAAATAAAATGTCAAAAGAAAGAGAGAGAAAAGTAAAGAAAATCAAACAAAAGTAATTGAAAACCATTAAATATAGTAGCACAACATAATAAAATAAACGTTAATTTTCACCTTTATCCAATTCATAGATATGAGACTGTAGAAATGGACAAAACCATCCCAACATCCCACTGCCATAACATCACGTAAATATTCAGAAGGAATAGATTCTTCACTATCCGATGCATAATTCGGTAAACGAAAAGCAATTGAATTAATCGATGATTTAATATTCAGATTTTTACTAGGTTTAATTTTTTTACAACCAGATGATTTCGACGTAAAATATGACCCAAATCCCAATTCACCAACTTCCCATAAACAAATTAAACAATCTAAACCACCAGTAGCCAAAATACGACGTTTCGGATGCCAAGCAGATACAGTCACAGGTTTGTGATGATATCCACTTAAAGAAGACACTTGGGAACTGATACTAGTTGCTATTCCACATGCAACACTGTTTATCACATTTGATAAATCCCAAATAAGTATACTAGCATCCTGACTAGTACTAACTAGCCATAATTGTGAACTCGACATACCATATGGTCTGATCGTAGAATCGTCAGAGGCAAAATCATCAATAAAACATAAACTGAGTATTGGCATATTGTGTCCAAGAAATGAACATAATATCTAAAAGAAGAAAACAGAGAGTTAATGATGAAGTAAATAGATTCAATAGAATAGGACTTTCAAAAAATTAAATTTATATAAGTTTATACCAATGATAACCATTTTGTTATATTGTTAAAAAAACATATGAAAAGCGCGAAAAACTAACCTTAAATGATTGAACCTCGACAACCGTAACTGTGCCAGACTCAGTTCCATAAGCTAATAAATTACCTGTTCGATCAAGTTCAATTGAGATTGGGATATCTTGGGAACCAGTTAGTGGTGTGACTGGTTTATGAATTGCAATTGGTTGAATAATTTTCGGTAGGATAGATTGAATGTCATTAGTATTTAATTTAATACGGAAAAATTTTTTATATGAGTCACCATTGAGTTTCTCTTGATAATTTGAACTAAGTAAACATGCATATCCAATTGTATGAATCCATTCGTCAACATCTTGATTGATAGCCAATTCAGCGAATGAATACGGATGTCTAATAAAAAGAAAATTAAACTAAACAATGTTACGTTGTTAAAAATAAACAGACTGATTATTTGGGTTGCATTGGATCTCGTGTGTTCAAGTCGTAGTATGAAATGAGAGGAGAGCAGTTGCACGATCTCGCACACACACTCTCTTTAGGTCGATTATCGATTAGTTAACCTACATTGCCAGTGGGATTAGTGACTTTACACTTACTAATTGACACAAAGACCAATGAACAACAACTAATACCTTGACAGTTATCAGTTCACAAGTTACTAGTTCTAACCGAGTGGACAACCAGAAAACGAAAACAGAGAACAGATTTGTTCTGTACTATACTCAGTTCAATTATTACTCCAAATTTATACGATAATATACCTGAAAAGTTTGACCACAGAGCAACACAAATACAAAATTACATAACACATACATAAGTGATACTATACCAGAACGATACGGGAATAATTAATTAATGATAAATCTGGTACAATAAATTATAAGACGAATCAAACGAAAGCTTAAAAATAGGACAGTATAAAAATACAATATTCAAAGCGTCTGCTAAACATACAACAAAAATATAAATAATAAACCTTAGTCTCAAAAGTCATACTTCCTCCTTTATTATATCAAACAAGAATGAAATAAAAAACCATCTAGACCAAATGTATAGTGGCCCATAATTTACAAGAGGAAAAAACAGTTATTTAATCAATTAAAAGAGAATACATAGAATATGTGATCCATCCAAGTAATGCACAACCTAAGCTTTAAAGATTATTAATTTTGGATACAACTAAATAAATGAAAAGTATTTTGTAAAAGGGTTATAACACTAACCTACCCTAACTTTGTATCACGAGAAAAAATGTTATTAACTTCGCTTTCAATGTTTATTAAACAAATTAAGATGATATCAGCTGTGAAAGCTATTGTTATATTGTCAGCAGTAATCGAAATTTACCAACTATCAGATGAGGAAAGATCTAGAAAGTACTCAATCGTTCACTAAATATTATTGATTATCAGGACATTAGTTTACTTTAACATTTTAATTTATTGTTTCATTATTCAACCATATAATAATACTGATTGATAATTACTAAGTACAACATAGAAAACAATCATTTTACAATAATGTACAACTTTAAAATGACCAAAATTACATCACATGAAGAATAAAGTCGTCACCAGTTGCCGATTAACACTACTCTTCATAAACTAATCCTCATATAATAATAATCGTAATAATAACAAAAATAATAATAATATAAGCCCTGTTAATGGTGTAGTGGCTGGTACTATATTAATCCAATATAGGTTACTCTAGCCTGGACAGACCAATTTATTCATTCTTCTCGAATCCCATTCTTACCTGATCACTTATTCGTTTATTAACCTTGACTGTTTTCATGTGAGTGTATGTGTGTACATTGCTTATCCTACTCATCACATTTTTGTAGCTTATTTTCGTTTGATTATAAATATCGATTCACGCTTGGTTAACGGGAGTTGGCTCACACGCCTTTCCTACCACACGTCGTTTCGTTTCGTTTCGCTCTCCCCACTTCGCTTCATTCGGTTCGCTCCCTTGATTATCTGTTCAGATCGACGGTTGTGTGGACCATAAGTATTCGAAATTGATTCTCGTATTTGACTTACTTTCGGCCCGTTATTCACTAACGCGGTTTCAGCCGATGATTATATACGAGGATTGGCTGTATGAATATTTCAATAACAATTATAATGCGATCCAAATGGAATCAGATATCGGGCCACAAGAACGGTATTCTCTTACAATGATCAATAGAACCATTTTCAGAGTTGTTATCATTCAGTAAAACAAAATAATTGTTTTAAATAAATGAATGAATCAACAACTTACTTAATTAAAAATTCATAATTCGATGCAAGAAACCTTTGCATAGTTATAATTTTATCCTTCATAAGATCTAATGAAGTAGGAATATTGTTCGTTTCAGATTGATGATGTGCAGTAGTTGTAACTAATCGAGAAAAATTTTATCATAATGATAAGAAAAAGGGTGGTTAATCTCAAAGATAATGATTATTTATTTTGTTTCATACATAATGACAGTACTAATGATAAGACACTAATCTATCAATATTTAAAATGAACATAATTCGGGCTTATACACGTCGATAAACAGCATACAAACATTGAATAAAGTTCTTTCCATCTGTCCCTTTAGCTAACTCATTCACTTCATTTCATGTCACTCAAGAAGCGGGAATATATAACCTTTAATCAGTTATTTACATCTTCTTAGCACATATAACTATTAATTCATTTTTGTATTGGTTATTTGAAACTTCTCATTTATGTTTAGGACTGCAATTGATCACTCTCTTATTGACATATGTGAATCCTGTGCGGATTGTCTCGATATTTCCTTGAGTCACAAGCATTACAAGGAAAGATGGATAGTGGAATCCGGTTTGACGAGCGTTTCGTCCTATTTAAGACTTGTCAGCTTCGCATATAACGATTAAGGAAATTTAAGCTACACACCTATAAATTTGTTTTTTTTCTTCTAGTTGGAAATGACTACAATTATTCTGTAATGGCACTAGAGATGACCTTGAGTGCAATATTACTACATTAATACGATGTCACAGTTTCCTTACGAATAATTAACCATTCCCAACTCATTTCGCAGTGTTGTAACCCATATATTCCAAAAACAAATTTTTAAATAACACGAATTTGAAAAATTTAAAACCCTACATCTGTCATTTACATATAACATTGTTATCTGTATCAACATGATTATGCCTATGATTATTTTCAGAATACATTATTTATTTATTTATTTGTCTTTTAAAATGTTAGATGTTTCATTGTATTTTAACAATAGAGGGCACATTAAACACGTATTAATCAGAGTTCAGCCTGATACCACACTTCACTCTACAACTGCTTTAGAATATCTGCAAACGAATAAACCATATGAGAAAAATGATACTGTATTACTTAGAAATAGATATAATTGCATACTATTCATGGAAAATACGTGGTTAATCCTAAATGGTCGATGAATAAAAACTAAAAAACAATATCATTTTCATCACGAAATTATAAGAGGAAAACCAATCAAAATTAAAAACTGATTGATGTACTTTGAAGCAGAGATAGACGGTGATTAGAAGTGGAAACCATGACTCGTATTTTTTCTTATTTGGAACTCGACAACTGGATGTACCTACCTACATTCGAAAGTTGACGTTTGCTCCAGGACTCGAATCAAATGTCTTTCGATTCAAACGCCATAGTGTTATCTACTTAGCTACTAACTACAAATGGCCACTTAATCAATTATTTCAATTTAGTTTGAAAGTGTGCAGTAACTATAACCAGCAGCGAGCAACGAATAAGATGTCTTTAAACAGCTAGGTTAAGATTGACAATGTACGATTAATCCAATGACTTCAGAATAACTAAATCACCTAACATGTGATCGATTTGATAGATAACTGCTTTTACTTATAACACTTTATAGATAGTTATCAAATGAAATAAAACATTGACAAAATTGATAATTTAACTGGAATTTGAATCCACCACCATTGTTTCTTCAAACGTCAAACGTTTATCAAATAAGCTATTAAGTCCCCCTAGCAATCAATTCAACACACCTAAGACCGAAGAAACCTCCATTAGGACCGAAACAATATTAAAGATACATTTAAATTCAGTTTCACCCAGTTAGCAGTAATGACCAAATGGAAAATAGAGCACTTACTGTATCTATTCAGATCGTCTAGCAATGTCAAACCATATCCAGATTCAATCTGATGAATAAGAAACGCTGGACTACTGAGTAAACAAACAACTTCATTTAATCGACCGGCATGATGCTAAAATTAATTTTTGCGGAAAAACATACATCTCAGTCATCAATCAATTAGACAGAGTATCCGATATAACTAGTCAAAATGTTAATACAGCCAAAAAACTGAATTGATAGCGATGAAGTTAAATTACGTCTACAATGAAGCGGCTATTCTTCATCAATGGAGACTGAACGATAGCTACATTATGTGAAAAATCAACTGAAGTTAGAAACGTGAATCTCTGGTTGAGAAGAGTATCTTACTCGGCAGTAGACCTGATTCTTCACTTCGATCTCGTTTCTGGAGGACTAAGTTCACAATGTTTGTAATTATTCACAAAGGACTAAAGAGTTGTTGAATAATCTCACAGAGAATTAAAACAGATAAGTACAGCTCAGATATAATTCTAAAATACACCATTTATCGGTTTACAGAAAACTCTATTAAAGTATCAAAAAAGATTCAATTTATTTTAAATATAAAAGGAGGGATGATAATAAAACATTCTCAGTATAAAACTAGAGATTGTTGAGTTTTTGAATTGAGATCATGAACCGATCAATGTTAAACCACTATTGAAAACCTGGAAGCATTGGATGGCCGTTTCGTTCTAGTATCGAAGTCCGCAGAAGTGGGCATCCGCGGTCCCGCACGCATAATTGAAACCCAGGACTTTCGGTCTCGCGACCGAACGCTCACTGCTGAGGAGTTCTATACTATGACGGAACGATCGTTCAGTGCCTCCGGGTTTTCAATGGTGGTCTAATATTGATCAATTCATGATCTCAAATAAAACATTCATTTATCCAATAATAAATATGCTAATAATGAACTTACTAAATGATAAATTAAATCTTTCATGTTTCGTGATTTTGAAGCTAAAATATTATGTATAGTTTGAAGAGTCACTGTCTTCAAATGAATTTTATCACCGTGCATACTTTCATCATATTTTGCACGTTTGCTAAAATTCCTCATTTGATTATTTTTGAAAGTATATTCATATTTTCCATGACCTATAGTGTTTTTTGATTGATTAAAACATATATCATAGACTAGATTGTGTATTTCACGACTGCAAAATGATAATGCTCTTGATCCAAGATTCCATATAGCAAGCTTTTGTTGTTTTATTGTTTGCATAGAACCATCAGGCGGTAATTCATTGTCAATTTCATCAATATCAGCTTTTTCATCAATGAAACCAGAGAGTAAAGGATGAAGACCAGTTAATAGGATATACAATAAAAGCGACGGCAAATGTGGTTGTCCTTTAGATAATGTAGGCTTATTTTTATTATTGAATTGATCATTGATTATTCGATAAATAATCTTCTCATTTGATATTATACTATCAAGATTGTCCAATGGTACTTTTAATTCTTGCCAACAGTCTGTATAACCATTTTTGAACTGTTGTTCCATCCATGATTCAATTAACCATTCATCAATTAAATTATGTAGTTCTTCTGTTGACAATGGTTGACGACAGCAAGTAAGTAGACCAAGTGTAATGCGAGTTAAATCTGATCCACAACTACATTCAACTCGTTTGACAACATCTATCACTAAACTGGATATTGTATCAGGCAGTTGTTTTAATTTTGCATCCAACTATTTAAAAATGGAAATCAAACAATTTAAATTGATAACCATACTTAAAACTATGAATAACAAACGTACGAATACATATAAATCAGGTCGATGAGAGCCACTTTGTTGATATGTGCTAAAATAAAGTTTTAGTCAATCAATCAATCACCACATACAACCTGGTACGTATGTACACCGGTTTCAGTTGCCATACCCAGTTAGCACAGAGATAAAACTGCCAGGCCAAATCTCAGAGTATGAGTTAGTAACAGAATAAATAAGAATAAAAAAGACTGGGTGTCGAAGATACGATTCAAGCAAAATATAAATGGGTGGAACCAAACACCAAAAAATTATGAATTCAGAAGCTCAGAATTTGAGTGAAGAAAAAGAATGGATGTGCCTAGACCATTTCAAATGATTTTGAGCAATATCGTTCAAGGTCTCTAACCACCGGTTATGATAATTACGCGGTAGTCTACACCTATAGACATGGCTCAGTTCCACGCTCAAAAACTTCAGGGACTAGTAGCTCATTTTTATGTGGCCGTCCCTAGCTTTCTCCCAACTTACTCCTACACCAGACAAGATTGTCTGTAGAGGTAAGCGGTTGTTATGTACACGTAACACATATCCCAAACACCTCAGTTAATGAAGATTCACTACATTATCAATTGATTTGTAATCTTTGCCCAGTTCCCTATTCTTAACCCAGGCACTGCTTACTCTGTGTTTCCAGCACAAGAAATACTTCGAAGACACCTATGATCGAATAAGATGTTGCAATTAGCAATATTTATTGGGGAAATCTCCATGAATAACTATCCATCAATGCTATAGTTAGCTGTAATATTAAACTAAAGATATCATATAAAAAAGTCAAGTTAAAAGTTAAATGTACAAGATAGGACACTAACCTGTTCATATTTACTGTACAAACGTAATTCATCACAAGCCAATTTCAAATAAAGTGGAATACTTGCTTCTCGTTTTTGAATTAAAACAGATAACTGTGAAGTAGAGAAAACGAACAACAATCAGATTAATAAAACAAATATGTAAACCTTATTTTATTCAAACACTATAATCTACAGTGAAACCAATGAAAACACAATGATTAAACCATCTAGCTCAGATAAAATTACTACACTGAAATGATCCACCTCAAGTACATATATTCACTGCAATTTATAGAAGAAAGCATAAATTCTTCATGTTCAATTGCATATACGTAATGTAATTCAATTAGCTTTTCATCAAATATACATACTCGCGTATTTGATTTTTTTAGACGAACTTTAGTCGCTTTAAACCTTGTAACACTACCTAACTGATTAGGACTTCTTTAGATAGATAGAATCAGATTCTGACTTGAAAGCTAGTGATTGAAAGTTGAGCTCGTTAATTATGAGGTTACCTGAAATATACATTTCATCATATGACAATTTCTGTCCATTAGAAATAATAAAATGATGTTGGATACATTTGAGATATGTGAATAGTATGAAAGTTGATCAAGGTTATTATTTCACCAATTAGTTTTAGCATTTTAAATTAAGTATTCAGTTAAGTGATACATCGATGTAGTTGTCGCTAAAATTTCTGATGTTTTAATTATTTTTTTATTATTTATTAACTACAAATATGTCATAGAGCTCCTTGTAATCGGAAAGCCATATTTATGGCGAAACTGTAAGCTATGAATGACCTCCGAGAATAACACCGAAATGATTTTGAGAATATTCATCTTCTTACACTAGTGTCAAAAAGGGTTATTAATAAATGTGAGGAAGTAAGATTAGTATTTAGAGTTAGAAGTCAATGTTGGGATTTGGAATTATGGTTTTCATCCCAAACTGACATCAATTTTAATGTCAAACTGCTATTTAACCAATTGAATTAATGAATTTTGCGTCCAAGCCCATAACGTGCTATCTTTAAATACATTAGTTAATCCATTGACTATAGTCTCATCATGTATCGACCAAATGAAATTATATCCACGAAAATATAAAAGATTTAACGTTGAATATGCTGAACATATGAGTAAATCAGTTATTGTTTTGAAACAAAATTGACTTCAGACAAAATAAATCATTGAAACATACCTGATTTGGAAAACCGGATTCACTTAAAACTTTTCCATATTTTCCAAGTAAACTACGAACAGCTGCACCACGTTCGTGTATAGTTAATCCAGATACAGTTAATAATTGGCAATCAATTCGATTGCACAAATTATGAGCAACTGATGATTTGGAATCACATGTTAAAACGAATCGAACATTCTGTGAAATAGAATTTTCAAAATTAATCAGAATCATATGGTAACAGGCAGTTTTAAAAATATAACCTTTACATATTTATTGGCTAATTCGACACATGTCAAATATCCGACACGAAACAAATTCAAAGTTTTAATATATCCGTCCCTATGGATACTGGTAAACGAGGCTAATCCAAACCACACTTATTTGATAAGTATTACTGTTACCTCCAACACAACAGAAGTACACATGAACGACAACATCGAGGATCAAACCCAGAACTTTTAGAACTTGTGGTGACAACATTTTTTTAAGACCAGTGAGTTAGCGAAATAACTATATTTTCAGAATTTTATTGTTAGATAATTAAGAAACAAGTAACATAGGATAAGGAAAAAATACATATATACGTACGCGTACGCGCGTACACGTACGCGAATAAACACATAGAGGAAACGCTAGAAAGACTTGTTATTAGTGTTTATAACCAAGTCGTTTTTTTTTCTGAAAACTGTCATTCAACATGTCATGTATCAGATGTTAGAGTAGAAAATAAATACATATGTCAACCTATTATATAAGTATCCTTTATGTCTATTGTTTCATAATGATAAAACATCTCCCACTCAATGCAGTTTGAACACAAAAAATGAATTGAAAAAAGACCGTTTCCAGCAAATTCAATTAAATGTAATATTTCCAGTCTGATAGAGATCGTGGGATGGATATTAATTGGAATTTCGGAGGATAATTGACTTAATCCCTTTAATGCTATTCTTGAATTAATACTTCAATCATTTAATTTTTTTGAGACTATCAGTAAAAAGTTTCGTTCGAGACCAGTTTAATCAAGAATAAAGATAATGACTATTATGATGGCACTGTGTCCGAAACTAATACCGATACACAAAATTCCAATTTCCAAACCCCAAACGGTTACTGAGTAAGAAGACTAAGAATGAAGAAGGAAATTTATTGGGCTAGATAAAATCATATACATATATGTCTACCACTTAAAAAAATGAAACCATTTCTTGGTCAATAACATCCACTTGTTATTTAGACGATCTTTGATTGATAAAATGTGGACTTAGCAATTGGTGACTTTTGTCTGACCCACAACTAATCTCTGACAATGATTATTTGATATGATATCGCAAATTAGTAAAGTATGCTACTGAAAGTCATATCCACCATAAAAGGCTGTTTGCACAAATTATCAGGAAGACTTAGATAAGCTGATAAGAGACTACCGAGATTCCTTAGCCATGAAAAATATAACTACATAATACATGGACGATACATTTTCTCATCAATCTAGATATTCTACACAATTAAATTTTATTAAAATTTTGAAATGTTAAATGCTGTAGCTTGAGAACGATCGGCAGAGGCATGAACTTTGAAAAAGTGTGACAAAATTCTAGTTAACTCTGATTGAACAAGACTTAATTTCAAGTTCATTGTGGATAGTGTTTAGAAAAACAAAACTGATCAATCTATTTATTTTTCTTCCGAAGATGAAACAGAAAAAATAAATAATCTTCGGTTACAATCATTGCAATAACGATGGTTAAAACACGTTTATGATTAGACAGGAAAAGAAATCACTTAGCAAACAGTACCCGTTAGGTCCTATGACTCTGTCAATTATCACGTGAAAAAATCGCTAATCAGAAATATCAACCTTTGTGACCTTGCTCCTGTGATAAACCAATGATGCTTAAACCAGCACTAACAGCCTTGAGTTAACCCTGAGTGCTTACCGGTCCACTGTAGGTAACCTATCATCTAGCCCAGCCCGTTCTGTCCAGAACACAAATATCGGCTTCCGCTGATATAATAGTAAATTATTAAGGAAATATTTACAATAAAACACATGAAACCTAACACTTACAAAATTAGGATAAATTTTAAGTCATGATTAACATGAAAACAATTACCTTCGGTAAAATTTGTGGTAACCATTCTAAGGTCATTGGTTCCAACTGATCGGAGTCATCAATTAAAAAGGCAAACTGTATATCATTTAAGTAACCAATAAATTGAATGAAACGTGCAAAGCACTGAATATTAAATCTATAGTAGAAATATAATAATAATAATAATAATAATAATAATAATAATAATAATAATATGCTTAACAAGTAAGTTAATTAATAAACCACCAAATAATAATTTGGACAGACGGAATTTGTTTAAATTCGTTCAATTTCAGGAGTATTTACATTTCAGGATAAACAACAGGTGAGAAATCATGAAACCATAGATACTTCTATATTGTATTCTCGGTTTAAACTCCCTACCAATTCACATTGTATTGAATAGAATCCATATACATTAATAATATTCATATATTCGTGCTAGTTTTAACATGAATTTCCCGAATCTCAAATGAGAAACTATAACATGCCATTATAAACGTTATTGTTTTAATGATGTAAAATAATGTATTTTGTTACATCAAAAGCTAACTGAATTCGAACCAATAGTCCATTAAACTCTAATTTAATAATCATAATTTTTTACAGTTATTTTGAGAATTCTCTACCACAATACGTAGTATCAGCATCTTCTGTTGATTCATTCAAAGCGAGATTGGAGCTCCACAGTGTTACAAACTGCAAGGATTATTACAGGTCGAGAGACCTCCTATCCTCACTAGTGAAGACTGAGATATGAAAATCTAGTATGAAAACAGTGATGTGAACTATTAACATTGTTTTTTTTAAGCAAACAACCCAGACAACAATTATCAATCATAACTGAGATCAGGAACCGACAAGTGTTAGACCAACATTGAAAACCTGGAAGCACTGGACGAACGTTCCGTCATACTATGAGACTGTCCAGCAGAGCGCACCCACGATCCCTCACACACGACTCCAACCCAGTACTAGAACTCCGAAAAATGCCTCCGGAAGCTGGTCACTAGTTAGTATATGATAATTGTTCTACTGTGTCAGGTGTAAGGTGGTTACTAACTGAAAACAATGGAGGATGGTCGCTCAGTATCGTAAATTGATTGAATCTAGACACTAAAACAGCTGGATCCAGGTTCAACGGTCTAGAGTTTAAGGGTTCGCGCGAGACAGAAGGTCCTGATTTCGAGACCTGCATGAGGGATAGTGGATGAACATTGCTGAGAGAGAATTCAGAAAATGAAATAATCAAAATCGTGATTGAATTATACTACTTACTTTAAATCTATATTAGAAGAGATTTTATTCACATTAAAAGATGATTTCATTTCATTAAATAATTTTCTAAGAATATCATCACAATTACAGATATTATCAAGTTGAATAGTTAATAGATTTAACCAATTTTGAAGTATTTCATTCAATTTTCTATTCGATGGTAAACCAGATATTGATAAACCATTACAGAAATGTATAAATATTTGATGTTTAGCAAATGTTGGACGTTGTTTTGAAATACATTTAGAATTTTCCATTGAATTCATTAATTGTCCACTTGAATGTAATTTAGAATTAAACTTTTTTTGTATTGTGTTATTCGTTGAAAATGATGTATACCAATCGGATTCTATCAATGATATTGTTAAAGCTGACAAATAGGTAGTTTTTCCACTACCAGTCGGTCCAACAATTAAAAGGATACTACCATCACAACCTTGAAGCAAATGATATTTTTTTCAGCGAAAAAGAAAATGGATTGAAATTGTGTGAATTTAGGCTTAAAACAATAAAGTTCTGTTAAATGAAATGGTCATTCGTTTAACCCCATATCCATGCATTTAAAGTGATTCATTATTGACAATGAAAATCATTGATAATAAACAGCTATTGTGTTAGAATATGGTGAATTGAAAATGTACATTATTATTAGGTTTATAGCTCAGTGTGTAGTTTGAAAGTTACTTAATTGTTACGAAACTTGAACGTCTAAAGTTTGAGTACTGATAGATTAATACTAAGTAACCTATGTTAAACAGATGTCCTTTGGTAGCACTGTATCTGACTCCAATTATATCGTATAATGATGATTGCCGCCCATCGTCATATATAATTACCGAATTAAATAGTGTTAGTGAATAACGGATTAAGAATAGATCAAATACGAGAATGAAGTTTGTGTACGTATATTTCGTACACTCGTTGATTTAAAAAAAAACAATCACGGAAACGAAAAGAAATGACGCGCAGTGGAGAAGGCGAGTAAGCCAACTCGATTTAATCAAGCGTGACTCAGACCAAAAATAATTTACATACACGTAATGAGTAGTGCAAACAATTAACACATAAACGACATCAAAACAGTCAGGGTTAGTAAGCGAAGAGCAAATAAATTGGTCTGTCCAGAAGCCATTCAACACAAACTAATTTTCGAAAACATACTTTTTTAAAAATACTACAACATTTATCCATTATAAATAAAAATAAAATATTTGTAATATCCCATTGAGTAGAAAATCCAATTTTCTACTCAATCAACCCAATGCTCAATTTATTCGAAATTATCAAATCAAACCTTGGTAATGACACCTATTTATCCATTATATTAAACAACATCAAAATTACGTGCACGCCTTGCATAAATTCTTAGATATTAGGTGATCTTTGAATTATCAGAAAGGGGTTTTGTGGAGATTGTAGTAATTTCATTGTTGAATCCATGAGTCGAATAAAGTTAGATCACCCCTTTCTGATAACAATCATCATGTGCTCACTAGTGACTGACTTCAACAGATACTTCCTCTAGTTCTAATGAGAAGACGTGGCCAGAAGTACAACAGAGTCTGTTGTGTGATAGTAACTCACTGAAGACAATGGTGGACGATGGCGCAATTTCGGGGATCAGTTGAATTTAAACATTAATGCCGGTGGATGTTGGCTCAGTGGGCTAGAGGATAAGGGTTTGAGCGCGAGACCGAAAGTCCTGGGTTTGAATCCCGTGAGTGGGATTGTTGATGAGAACCGTTAGAGAGTCCGATGCTAGGAAAGAGGCTACTGAACATCGTCTTATCGACAGGTGTTCATTTACTTATTTAAACACATAAACATTGGTACAAGGAGGCACCAAGTATATATACGACACACAAATCATTCGATTTGTGTGAGGCCTGGGATATTGTTCGAGTGCCAAAACTGAAACACGTGGTTTTCGTAGTAGGAAGCTCCCCAAGGCTTTCACCTAAAGGTCTACTTCACAATGCAACTTTAGGAGATGCAGTCCCATGGTAGCAGGTGACCAATAATAGGTCCAGTTCTTCTCTCAGAATACTGAAACTCATCTGCAACACTGGTTTGGAATCAGGGTTTTCCATATTCACCAAACCAGTTAAAGCACCGGACACTCGCTTTTCATTCTTTCAATTTCATAAGCCACACCCCCACCATGATAAGTCAGTAAGTAGGACTTCCCTAGCAGAGACTGTATACGCGTTGCCGTGTGAGATCATTTCGAGAGAGGGGGCTGACTCTCCCCACCCACGTCCGTACTAGAGTATTTAGGTGATTATTATCGAAAACTTCAAGTATCCTTAAGCCCTTCATCAACCTCGAGAAAAATCACTTTAAATTGACCAGTCAGATTTTAAGTACCAAATAATCAAATTCAAAATCATTTCGTTTGATGGGTTTCCTTTTTTTAGAAAAAAAACTATTACCTTGAAGGTTTGTTGAATTGTTTCGTACACTTAATTTCTTTTCAGTTGACTGAATTGCACGAGCCAGATGAACTCGATGACCGCGTTCAGTTAATGCACTAAAAGCTTGTTCTACTTCCAGTAGATGACGTGGTCCAATTGCACATGCAGCTGAATAAACATATTCTCGTAAGAATTCAATAGTATTCAATGACTTATTAACAGTTATAGGCAAATATTTATCACTATTATATACCTGAAAAAAATATATAATAAAATGAGAAATTAAAAAAAATGCATATTGAGAAATAAGAGCCAAATCCAACTAATATACCATGTGATTTAAAAAATATTGAAAAGTATAAACTCATACACATATATATAGGACATGCTTCCCGTTAGTTTGAGTCCATGTGAACAAAGTGAGGGTATTTAAATGGATTATTAATTCGACAGTAAGTGAATATATATATAGTTTAAAAGAAAACTAGTGCTGACTAAACAAAAACATAACATTAGTACATGTATATATCAAGTTAATCACTGTTGAAACCGGTTGTGTCATCAGATGGAAGCTTTCAGTTTGATGTCCATAAAATAATTTCAATCTATAGTTGGTGCTACGTTTGAAGAGATTACGAGATCACCTAAATCGGCGAACGGAACGAAGGCTCAGCGACACATTGGCAAGATAAGCTAACTATACCAATGCGTCCCAGACCAACTAACTAGAGGTAAAAGTCCAGGTTCATATGAGGGAAAGTATATTCCACAACTCAACCATAACTCAAGCGTATATTAACAGCATAAAAATGTCTTTGGCAAACGTCACAAAATAACATACTAAAAGAGACAACGAACCAATGACATTTAGGATCCTTCCAAATGGGAAAAATAATCTCAAAGTAAAAATGAGCACTTCTGGTGCGAAAATAAAAAATTCGAATTTCCAAAATTACAAAATCTTGACGTTTACCAAGTGAGTTTCAGGAATTTATCATCCCCAAGAGTTACAAACCATAGATGATATATGATTCAAAATCGGTCATGATAGAGTAGATAAATTTGCTATTCCTTCGAATTTTCAGTCCTAAAATCAATTTTGAGTAAATTAACTTCGATCTCATTATTCAGTTGTATTAATGCATCAATACACAATAAACACCATTACCGCATACAAATCTGGTGGATGGAATAACATGCTTATGTGTATAATTGATACCATTACATAATAATAATAATAATAATAATAATAATAATAATAATAATAATATCTTACAATCAGTTTTATCGATTATAATAAAACAGAAACTTACTGGAGTACTATCACTATCATTATGAAATAGACAAAGAAGTAAAGATTTAACTGTTGCAAAAAATTGACTTCCGAATTCATCTAAATTTCCCATTATTGGATAATTATTTATCAAACCATTGAATTGAGCTGAATAACTAAATCGTGAAATACACATAAATAACAAGTAATTCTCAGTAATAAAAAAATATAAAGATAATGAAAAGAAGTTAAAGGTAAACTGAGAAAAGCAAATCAGTTAAGTCGGTCTACGATAGTTACACAATGAATGTTTAAAATAAAGGATTACTAGGTAAAACTTTTCTTCGAATTAACTAAATTGTAGCTTGGACAAAAGATTATGTTCGGTACTGAGGACTAAATAACATAGCAGTGGTTATGGCTTAATAATAAACTAATACAGATATAGAATATAGATATAGAAACTATCACCATTGGATGCCGGCTCAGTAGTCCAGTTGGTTAAGCGTACGCGCGCGAGACCGAGGGCCCTGGGTCCGAATCCCGCTCGCGGGATCGTGGATGTGCACTGCTGAGGAGTCCCACAATAGGACGAAACGGCCGTCCAGTGCTTCCAGGTTTTCAATTGTGATGGTCTAACATCAATTGGTTCATGATCTCAATCAAAAACTTAATAATCTCCACAACTCCTATACTAGTAATACAGATATCTCAATCACATAAGTAGTTAATTGTAGCTCAGTGGATAACATTTCTGTGTCACTGGATAGTGCAGATTCGAACACTACAAGATACACAAGTAATATAAATTTTCTTTAACTAACTAATGGCAATGGATAAGAAATCTATGTTCATAAATTCATAGTTGTCACGGTTCTTTCCTTTGTAATATTTAAACTTGGGTTAATTTAATTTCGATTATTTATTTACTCTGAAGAATTGACTTACATTAAGTTACGAAACGTCAGAAATACAATTTTTCTCCTCATTGGAACATAACGAAATAAAATTTATTTATTGTTAACTCTCTAACCAATGCTCAATTTATTTGAAACGATCATGTCCTACCTTGGCATTGATACCTAATTCACGTTTTTTTTGTTATTCCTTTCACAGAAATACACTCTAGATTGATTTATGTGTAAAACATAACTTTTAAAAATAAAAGACTTCGGCAAATTGCAAATACATGTTAAAAGAATCACAGAATGAGCGATAGTAATTATGAGAGTGAATTGATAGGTAAAGATGTAATACCAGTTTATCGTAATTTTTTATGTATTAAGCTTTCAGGTAAGCACTTAGTACAAAAGCTATAAAAAAGGGAGTCTAAACTGGATTAATTAGAGTTCAAACCTGCGATCAATAAGTTGAAAACAAAGCACTTAATCTAATAAGCCACCTACTTGAACACATTAGTGAATGCAATAGATTGACTTACTTATGACTAACAATAACACCATCATTACGAATTAATTCCTTGAAGGCGTTAAGACGATTACGTTTTTCAACATCATACTCTTCAAAGCAATGTTTCAATTCATCTGGTACATTTCTAAAAATAGAAATTCGTAAATGTATCAGTTTAAAACAATGTTTCTATATTATTATCTTTGAAATATCAGTAGGTTCAGGAATATACAGGTGAAATTGACCAGATATGTCAAATGTTCTTGAAGTTCTATATTTGAAGACGGAACGAAGACTCTGTGACAAAATGACCAATAAGCTAGCTATTCCGTTGCGACACAGCCCCGCTAACTAGAGACAGAAATCCACGTTCGAAGATGGAAATGTGTTCTACAAACAGCCAGAACCACGAACAACCATGACAAGTCTAATCGAAAATACACTCATCTATATATTGGTTGTACACCCATTTTCGATTAATAATTAGGATGAAATCACATACATGAAAAATACATATTGTTATAACAAATTATATAGTTCATGTCAACTGAATACAAGAATATCGTATGTTATATAGAACAAAACCGAATACTACACTGGATAATCATTACATTGAATTAAAACGGAAATAATGTTGAATCAAGAATCATAATGAGTAAATCAATCTAATTTTGACTCTTCTTCCTATCATATCATGAAGATCGGTAAATTATCAATGCAACACCGTAATATACATTTAACCAACAAGAATATTGGATTGTATATTTTATATGTTATATTTAAAATACATTCTTAAATAGATTCATCATGATCTTATCGACAATTACTTCATTTTTCTGATATGGAAAAAACGAACTTCAGAATCAACTAACTGTTGAAATATATGGTCTTCGTTCATGTACTGTATTCAACAGTTATCTGATGTTAAAGTATGAAACTTGTGTGTAATGCAAAATAACGAACGTATATTTCTTTAAAGAAAAAAACACATAATCGCCATCATCTTATACCAATTAGTCAAAACGACATGTAAAACTCTCTTCCATTTGACTAGAACTTACTCTATAGATGCTGAATCTCTAATGAAAACACAAATTCGAAGACGTATTGCCTCATGAAAACTTATTGTATTCTGCTGTCGTCTTTCATGAATAGGGACTTTAGATATGGCAGCTTGTCTAGCCATATGATACTCCATTTCAGTCATAGACATTCCAGGTTTATAAAATTTGCACACTTCAGATAATAATGATTCAGGTAATGACATAACTACAGCTTCGTCTGGTATACAACCATAACTGGAAAATAAAATGAAGAAAACTATGAGTTCATGTAGAGTTAAAATCTAGTCAAGACAACAGAGTACATCTCTGAATGGCATTTAAAATATTCTATTCAACTAATCTCTCAAAATTCCCATAACTTTCTAAAAGGATGATCAAAATGTAATCACCAATACAACTTGTTAGCAATGAACTAATATGTCCTGACATCTATAAATAATATCTAATATAAATTGTTGAGTGAATTGTCAAATATATATACCACTATTGCAAAGCAAATATAACTGACATTCTGGTAAACAACACTGAAGGCCACTACATGAGTTACTCTTTTTTAGTTATCACATAGAACGATTTCTGAGGCATCAACTACAGTGACGAGTTATGAAAACATATCTGACAGAAATGACTGTGAATATGTTTCATGATATTTCGGTATCGAATATAATAACCAATCAATCATATATCACTAATATTGTTAAACTATAAAACCATAGGCTTCAATATATAAAGAGTTGACAAAAGTATTAGCTATGATTAACATTAATTAGAAAAGATCAATGAATATTTCACAAATATTTAATAAACCATTTGATGCTGGGCCAGTAGTTTAGAGGTGTCAAGCGTTTTTGAGTGAGACCAAAGGCCCTGAGTTCGGTTCTCAGTTGGGGGTCGTGGTTTCCCACTACTGGAAAGTCTCATGCTAGAATAGAATGACCTTGTAGTGCTCCCAAGTGTTCAGTAGTTGTCAACCTTAGATCATTTTCTAATTACAATAAAATATTTATTAGTTATAAACAGATATGAACAGTGGCTAGCAGTGGAATGCACAACATGCGTTTCGTCTTATTTAGGACTCGTCATCTGGATATACCTGCATCCCAGAGTTGATGTTCACTCTGAAACTCGAACCCAGTACCACTCACTTCAAAAGCCAACGCGTTATCCACTTAGGCAATATAGAGGCAATCCGCACAGGATGCACATATGACAATAAGAGACTGATCATTCGCAGTCCTAAACATGAATGCGAAGATTCAAATAACAAATACAAAAAATGAATTATTTAATAGTTATACAGAAAAAAATGACAAAAAAGAACACAACAGTATTACCGATCGCCCAATAACAGAACAAAAATATCACTAGCAGCCGCTTGTTCTAAACATATCTGTAGTGCTTGTGAATTGTATGTAGCTGGTTCAGGAACACCCCAACGTAAATCGATTTCATTTAAATGTACACGTAAACCTAATGCAACATTTCTACGTAAAGCAGGCACAAGTATACCACATAATAGATCACGTTCAGCGTGCATATCACGAAATGTAGATGAAATAAACAACTGACAACATTTCCATCTAAATGATAACAATAGAAAAATGAGATACATTGATGAATTCTTGAAGACAGAGAGACAGTAAACAATATAAATGTTCTTTTTTGGAAAAGTATTATGTTCGACAGTAGGTACTGCATTAATGCAACTCCAAAACTAAGTTTACATTGAGGTAAACATAATAAAGGTTGTCGAAAAGAAATCGTCAACAGTTCAAATTGATTAAGAGAGGTTTTTACAAAGCCGAATGAAATAAATAGTTCTAAGTATTACATACACAGCTCAATTGCAAAGATAAGAAGATCAGTAACTCATTATTAGATAGGATACCCTAGTACCGTTTAACGAAAAGATACGTGCTTAAAAAACAATTTCTTTAGGTAGAGTTATGATTTTTTTTCGAAATACTAATATTGACTCATTAGATATCGGAATAAGATTGATAGAGTCTAAATTGTCATATGTTGAAGGAGTCCAAAAAATATCTCTCGTCAAGTCCTTGAAGGCCCAGAGATGTCAAGAAACTTTATATTCAACGAGCTTTTGATATAATCTTCCTACAAGCATCTAGAAAATACAGAATCAAGCGTCATAGTTTTGATTTGGATATTTACTTGTACTGCTACTATATTTAATATGATCCTGGAAATTCCCAGAAGCCCAAGATCAAGTGTAATACTATGAATACCGATTTTTCTGATTATAAATCAATCTTGGAGTAAAGCATTATTCGTATTTTGAGTATTCTTTCTAGTTTTCCAGTTGACGAGCATAAGCAGTTGGGGATATCATAACCTGGTATGAAAGCAGTTTAAACGTATCGGTAGCAAGAATTAATAATTGACGATGAGAAAATCACACTGAACACTACCTTTGAACAATTAGAACCTTACTTGGAGCTCTAGGAGAAACGACTTGAATGGTCTCAAATAAAAATCATGGGAGCTCTCATGCAGACATGTATACCCTAGCAAAACCTCACATCTAATGAGGCGCAAATAACATATACCAACTCTGTCATGAATGACATTTATGAATTTTTACTTTTTACTCATATTTTAACGAATATGAGGACCTGTTCCGTATTGATCTCAGGAGACTGAATCACGCTACAAAAGTCAAAATACTTAGAACAATAGAACACGAGCACTATAGTAACTTTATTCTTTCAAACAATCCACGTGAATTTACTTTTGATGAAGCAGTTAAAAGATCGTTGTAAAGTTTTATAGGTTCACATCATTGAAAAATTCAGACCATCGACAAAAAAAGCTTGTTTTTGCATCATTCAAATGATTCTGTGTCATGAAAAATGATCTATCTTCAAACGATCATATAAACTTTAAGTCAAATTATTTCAAAAGTAAAAATACTTACCCTGATCTAAAATAATCACGTTTCGATAATATACCATTATCAGGATTTTCTTGTATTTTTGTTTTTAAATTAAAGTGATGTGAAATATTCTTATTTAATCCATAGATTTCATCTATTTTTTCAATACGTTCAAGTAATTTATCTTCATTTGGTTCAGCAATATAACGTAGAATTTGATCTGTACACCCTTTGAATTCAATCCAACCATCTTTACTACATGATTTTGGCCTTAAAAAAATAAAAACAAGACAAAAATACAAACTCAGTCTCTTATTGGTATAGGTTCATCCTGTGCGGATTGCCTGAATATTACTTTAAATTACAAGCATTATGAGCAAATATGGATAGTGGCCAGCAGTGGAATGTACAACGCGTGTTTCATCCTATTTAGGACTCTTCCATTTAGCTACTGAGTCCTGATAGCTAAGTGGATAACGGGATGACGTTTGAAGCGAATGGTACAGGGTTCGAGTTCCAGAGTGAACATCAACTCTTGGATGCAGGTACACCCAGCTGATGAGTCTCAGATAAGACGAAACGCGTGTCTTGGTTTCCACTGTTAGCCACCATCCATCTTTGCTAGCAATAGCTTTATTAATTGGAATGAGAAAGACATATGGAACTGAACTTTTTCCAATCGTATTTAATATCTTAGGAAGGATCGTAGATCCTTAATTGTATAATATTGCAAATATATGTTCGCACAGTAAGCTATCAAATTATTATTGTTAAATATAACTCAGTTTAATTTAAACAAATTTGATTGTTAATCTAACTATAAATAAATCTTATAAAAAGTGGTGTATTCCCAGATCATTTTGACCTATTTGCGGATTCAAATAAATCTTTATCACAAGTCTTCGCACCCTCTCTCTTGTGTTCAAGTTGCCGTGTAGCTTTAGTCTAAGGTTTCTCTATGGCTTTATTGCTGAAATCGTGAAATTGCATTACAAAGCAACCCCTAACTTAAAATTCTCAAGGCAAAAGAATAAGAACACCCTGTACCAGGAATTAGAGGCAGACATCGAAGTAATGATTAACACTTGAGAACAGCTGAAAAGGAGAGCCCGCAACAGTGGATTGGAGAATCCTGATCGGTAGCCTATGCTCTACGAGGGTAACAGGATTAAGTAGACAAGATGTTTTCAGTAATCAAATAATTATCAATAGTGAGACGTTTGAGATATGTGTAAATATTAGGTATTTCGGATACATATTTGTTTATGGATGGATCAAATTAGCCCGTTATTTATATGTGATGGTATTCTGCACAAGCTAAACATCCTGGAAAATTCATTTAAGTAGTTAAAAATGCATTAGATTTTGTTAAAATAATGAAAAGCTAGACAGTTTCAGATGTATTTGTTGTTATTAAAGTTTGAGACAAGAACATTTCACCAACTTAAGGAGTGTCAAAAATCGGATGACTAGCTAAAGTCATGTTTATTAAACAACAGTTCTATATGTGCTCAACCACAACAAAAATGATCAACATAACTAAAGTATATCAAAATGTTTTAGCCACTAGATAAAAGGACTCCTTCAGACATTGTTCGCAATCAGTAGAACTGATATAATAACGTAACAGTAAAACTAGACGTGAAGAGAAGACCTATTCTTGATGAGAATGTGAACCAAAATCACCTAATGTGAGTGAGACGTTTTGTCTGTACTGAGATAATGACTAAAATAAAAAACAGGATGCTGATAAACAGAAGAGTAATTCGGAATGAGGACATGGGCAAGAAGGTGCTGTGAATTAGGACTTGATAAGTAAAACCACTTGTTAAATATGCTAGGTAAAGAGGATCGAAAATCTATGACAATGATTTAAATGTTTTCATACATTACCATTTCAGTTGATTTTAAGTATATCATTATTCATATTCAGTGTACCTCCACTACATTTGTACATTTTGACCTATTTTAATTCTTGGTGATAGCATCCAAATGCCCTAATAAACTTGACGGTGTAGAGATCCAACTCCCCATTTGGAGATCCTTTCTCCATATGGTCACACATTTATAGTATCTGACACAAATGTCTCACTCAGTGCCTACATGTGTAAGAGATGTTCCTCGCCAAATTGAGGTAAAAAATAAAACGTCTGAGCTTGAAGTATTAGGCTGGACACATAGGATTCATCTAGAGAAGTTAACAAACCCTGATTCCAAACAAATAGTTTACATGAGTCCCATGATTATGAGGGAACGAATAATATACTAACTTATCATGATCCTCGGAGACCACGGAACGGTAACGCTTGATGTCGCAACATTACCTTTCAGGTTAAATCTTTCAGTCAGAAGCCCGATAACCTGTTAGATCCCCAAAACTCGCATGGTAAACGTCAAGATTTTGTAATTTTTTAATTTTGGAAATTCGAATTTTTTATTTTCGCACCAGAAACGCTCAATTTTACTTTGAGATTATTTTTCCCATTTGGAAGGATCCTAAATGTCATTGGTTCGTTGTCTCTTTTAGTATGTTATTTTGTGACGTTTCCCAAAGACATTTTTATGCTGTCAATATACGCTTGAGTTGTGCTTGAGTTGTAGAATTTACTTTCCCTCATCTGAACCTTTACTTTTACCTCTAGTTCGTTGATCTGGGACTCATCGGAATAGTTAGCTTATCTTGCCAATGTGTCGCTGAGCCTTCGTTCCATTCGCCGATTTAGGTGATCTCGTAATCTCTTCAAACATAGCACTAAGAAAACCACCAGTTTCAGTTTGGGGCCTGAGAAGTGTCCCAGCGTACACATAAAAATTATGAATTCTATGGTATATGCTACTTTTTATACCCAGTTGTACCATGTTTTATGGGAATGAAATGAATAAATAATGAAGGAATTCACTGTTAAACAAGGTTACTCACATTTGTACACGTGTTTTAAAGGTCAATCATAAAAATACTTATCTCATGAAATTACAATAACTAACTACGTAAATCAAATACCAAGTAATGAACACTTGCCATATGTCTTCACCACTCAAATTTCCCCAGATTGCTTTCAATGGTCCAATGTATGTCCGATAATTCGTAACATAATCAACAATTTCCTTATGACAATCTCCAAAGATAACAATTTTATCAAACTGAAATAAAAAATCCGCAAACCATTAACCAATATATAACATGTAGGTAAACAAAATACCGATTATTGGAAAGGAGTATAAATCTAACGAAAAATCAAGGTATGCGAATAAAATCTTGTATGTGAAATGTATGATAATCAACGGACGCATACAAATAAAAATTGATGAATAATAATCAATTGAAAATAGATAGAAACTATAACGAAGGTTCGTTTACAACGGCAAAACCTGGCGAATTAACATCTCCATCTAATCTATAGTTCGAGTAATGAACAAGATAAAACATTGCACAAATCACATGTGCTGGAGATCGATTGAAAAGTATGAAAAAAACCTCAGAATAAACAAACTATTTAGTGAACCACTGACTTGAAGATGATTAATCGATGAATGTATTGAAAACCTAAGGAATCCAATGAGGTCACGAATAATCGATTGGATAATTTTAAAAGTAATATCTGACATTTCCTAAACACTGATCATTATGTGTAGTGATCGAGAACTCAGGTGGGGACAACCAATTTACTGTATACTACAAAATTACACAATACCTTGGTAAAATATGAGAACCATACATAAAAGACTTCAATTGCAAATATTTCATCAATTTTCCTTTAAATTCTGTTTCATGCTTTCAATTCACAATTACTTTTCATTCCCCTTTAAGTTTTCTTCAATTCGATCTTCATAGCTTTCTGCTGCCATGCATTTCACTTCTGATTGGTGTTAAATAAAACTTAAGTCAACAGACATAAGTAGCATACACCACATGTGAACAACACGTAATCTCCTATGGTTCAATTCAATTTGATAAACTTATGGGTGACATGTCACTTTTATAACAATATTATCATTATGTTACGTCATAAGTGTACAAGTACATCATCAATGACCTTGGAGAACACTAAACAACAAAGCTGTAACAATGTGAACAAAACACGTAAGAGTAACAAATCTATGGTAGTGTAGAATGAGAACAACTGATTTAAATTAATAAAGAAATAATGCTGAATAGAGATTTAAATGCATAGCTTCAAAAATTTAGAATTGAACATTCAACTAATTAGAATAAAAATCCTCATAGAATATTTAAAAGTAAAGAATATTTAAGCGAACAATTTTTTTCAACAACTTCATCATCAGGCTCTCCATAATTATAATATTTTAAAAAGGCCAAAATAAGGCACGCATTAAAATAGAGGAAGCTTTCTCTGTTTTATATCAATTTCCAAAATATCTACCTCAAGGAGCTAAACTACGATTATTCTACATAGCCGAAGCCATTTAGATCGACTCCAGAAAACCAAACTTATGTAACCAGAAAAGGTATAGCCAGCCTCTATGTTTACCTTGGCCCACGACTGGATCACCGGATACCTAAACTGAATATTATAAACATCTTATTTTAAACATCTTTTTTTATTACCTCTATCTTAATCTTCACAACCATCATTCCCAATTCGTTTATCGTAATTACCTTGATAACACCCTCCTTATTACATATTATATTCACACCAGTGGAGCTAATCCGTGTCGGGTAGAAACAGGTGTCTACCTAAGTATAATGAAAGACGGTCGCACAATTTCGTGGATTGGTTGAGGTTAGACATTAACACCATTGGATGCCGGCTCAGTGGTCTAGTTGGTTGAGCGCCTGGCGCGAGACTGATAGGTCCTGGGTTTGGATCTCGCGAGGTGCGGGATCGTGAATGCGCACTGCTGAGGAGTCTCACACTAGGACGAAACTGCCGTCCAGTGCTTCCAGGTTTTCCATGGTGGTCTAGCTTCAATTGACTCATGATTTCAACTATTCTTTCTTTTTAATAAGAACAAATTGATTGAAGAAATAAATACCTATAAGTTAACTATTACACTCAATCATCTGAAATTTATACTGATAACTGTTAGATCATTTCCTCTTGCATAATGTATCTCTGTTAAGAGGAAAAAAGAAATATATTTACATTCTGCCTTGTAATTTAAGAATGAAAGTAATTCCATCTTATATTTCGGTCAGATATAAAATGAAATGTTTTAAAAAGTATTCTTCATTAAATAGGTGTACGTACCTGTTTCCGATAAGCATAAAGTTTCTCAAAAACTGTCGTAACTGGAGTAGATATAAGTGACTGGTAAACAAAAGAGAAAATCATTTTAAAACTTATTGTATTAACATCTTTTTTTGTAGGAAAAGAAAAGAAAACGGGTTAACAACAAAGTAACATACTTTTCTACATAAACATATTTTGAATCTTATTAAACTGTGTGCAGAAACTAAAGTCCCAAACCATGAAATCACTCTGAAAAAACAATTAACTATCAAGATCATATCGAATTATTATGTGCATTACTGAAGAGTCTCACGCCAGGACGAAACAACAGTCTAATGCGCCCTATTTTTCAGTGATTATCTAACTTATATTGGTGACATGGCTCAGAATCGATCACAATGGCGTCGGTGTATACACTCCCTGTCTTCCCTTAAACTATGAGATTAAAATCGCTTCATATCTTTCTTTCTACGAACCAATTCTTTCTTCTTGTACTATATCTCTATATGCAATCTTTCTCTTATATATTACCACCTTTTACCTAACCACTGTTATGAATCCGGTGTTCATCTTGTTGTGTTGATGCGGTATGGCAACCTGGGCCGATGCACATATGTGCCTGGTCCTACGTTGTAGCTGATTGACTGACTGAACTTATATTGGTACGTGGTCACAATGAAAATTTATGAATACCTACGTATTCCCCAACTGTATTACAATCGATAACAGAAGTAAATATATTCTTGGCTCTTATTTATCATCGCCATAATTTTGAGCTTGGGAAAGGGGAATTAGGAATAATAAATTAGGTGTGAATCGGCATTCCTGGTGGTTATGCTTACTGAGTCGTTTACTCGAATCACTCTGTAGTTTCATTGTAAGTAAAACAGTCCCAATATAACATCTAAGTCAACTTGCTGAAAACTGATAAAAGTAACTGTGAACGCAACTAAGTGATCGAAACGACTCATATAATATAAACCGTTTGTGAGCTCACTTTTTTCTTAACCAAAAACAAACAACGAAATTTATTTTAACACGCACACTTGGAAAATAACATCGAAGCACAAAATTTGAAACTTACACCACGTGTTTTATACATTTGCTTTGTTCTTTCTAGAATGCCCATATTTTTATGTTTAGATAGAGATTTGTTATGCTTCGAGTCATTATTTAAAGTCTGTTTTTCTTTGAATACAACTTCAATTGGGGTTAAATTGTATTGATCACCAACTGTAACATAGGTTGTAGGTGTTTCACATATCGACGTACACATTGCGCCAAGAAGGAAACCTAGAATTTTTATCTATTAAGAAAATAAATAATGATTAGTAAAAGACACATTTTTAAAATCGAAATTAGTTTGTTATTACTGGTGTTATGATCTCTCTTATTACGACCTAGCTACTCTTATCTCTTTGGACACTACTCGACAAGTCCACAAAAAAGCACACAGCTGAACAGGAACGTAATTATATTCTAAATAAAACAGGTTGGATAAAAGTAGGAATGACAATAAGAAAAACGTTGTATATGTATAATTTTACACAAGAAGATTCCAGAGTATTCTTTAAGTATTCGCTAGAACTGATTGACTAAGAAACGGCCAATCAGTATGCCTCAACACAATCATATTGATATTTAAAAAATCAATAATTCCCATCAACTTCTATTATCACTCTACACTCCGTCTAACAACTGTTGAAACTTCGACACCACGTTTCGCTACATACTACATACAATCTTGTGAGTAACACCCACTACATCTCCATTCAACAATACGAATATACAATAACTATAGGTAACATTGAGGCACCCACTGACAGTGCACTCATGCAAACGCAGACTGATAAAAAAAACTTCAATTATGAAAATAAGAAATAACGAAAAACATAAAATTTTATGCAGAATCCAAAACATTAGGATCAATCGATGTGAATAAAGAATGAATATATAACTAATCTAATGGGAATAAATTTACTTACATAAGATTTCGATGATCTATGTTTAGAAGGATTGACATATTTACTAGTAGAACAAATAATTAATGTTGAACCACATATTGGTGGCAAATTATGCTTCATTGATAATTCTAAAGCGGTACTTAACGCATTTTTATATCGGTCCAAAGTGTTGCGACTGCAAAAGAGCCACCTTTTTACAACACAAATACATAAAATAAAAAAATTCTATTTTAGGTAAATAATTCACACATTGAAATAACGACAATTAGGGTCGAATGATTGAAGACGTTGTTTAATATGATCCAAAATCAAGGAATGGAGTAAATTTATTCATATTTTGTCTATCCTTAGATTATGAATTTCAAAAATATTTCATACTTGCTATCACGTAAATTTATTCTTTATTCTCCAATCACATTTTTTAATGCTTAATCATATCACTAACACTGATGCTATTAATACTACTGATACTACTACTTTAGTGTTCATCTTCATAATTTGATCTTGTTGAGTGCACATATATTGTGAAATATCTTAGACTGATCCATGTATATGCCAAGTTCGATATTGCTTAGAACTCACTGACTGATTAACTTTTAAATTAACACCGTGAGTAGATGATACCAAAAATCTTTTTTAAAACTTTTGTAAAGTACAGTATTATTATTATAATTAATGACTTTATTCAATATTATAGTTTTGGTACAATATAGAATTCTCAGCACAGGTTATTTCAATAAGTTACTTACGCAACAACAAAAAAGAACACAGTAACGAATACAAAAAAGAGAAAAGCTTTTTTTTTAAAAACCGAAAAACTGTACAACTTTTAAAATTAGAGACATGTTAAGAATGCAAGTTATTGACTAGGTTAACTCTAACAACCTGTTCGTCGCAGAGTATATTTGCTAGGTAAGGTATTATAGAACTTTTATACTTTTGCTTGCATGCATGGATTTTAATGTAATTACGTCTCGTTCTACCAGAAGATATAGAAAGAGAAAGATAAGAGTGAAGGGGGTGGTTAGTATCTGATAAAATAACACCTGCCAGGAGTTTGCATGACTTTAGATGTCTACCCACAACCATATTAATTATGACCTCGAAAGATTCACCACACACCTTGCTAACTGCCTTCATCACTCTCCGCAATACAGCAGTCTTTTCTCAAAAGCCCCGGAAAGAATAATGGAGAACAGTAAAGAATAATAGGTAACATGCAAGAATTGACAAACTGTAAGAGTAAATGACAAGTAAACCCAAGAGCATGCAATCTCTTTATGTAGTAAGTTAGACGGAAAACCTTCTTCGATAACAATAAAACGTAGGAAGACTAAAAGAAATCAGAGGAAAAAGTGACACCAGGATAATTGACCTTCGACACTGTGTTTACAAAAGAGTCCCCAATGGCACAAGCATTATGGGATCTCAAAATGGTGTTTTGATGCCGTTCATGTCTCATGCTAAGGTTAACAGCTTGACATTTAGACGGATTAAGTATGCGACTATTACCAACAGACCAACAATCAATACGAGACAAAAACTCATTGATTTCTATGGGATGTAAGGAAGAAGAGATAGGCATACATACAGTGAGATCATCCGCATATTTCACAAAAGTGTTTTCTGTGGAAGATGGTAGATCATGCTGAAAAAAGAGGAAAGAAGAGGTGGAAGAACAGCTCTTTGAGGTACACCTACATGAGACAGTAGAGACTCTGAACACTTTCCTCCAAATACAGTGTACTGTTCCCTTCCAGAGAGGTAGGAATATAGCCAGTTGGTTATCCAGCTGTCAGTGTTGACGCTGATTAACTTGTTAATTAAACGTTGTCTTGGTATAGAATCAAAAGCTGAAGTATACTCCAGAAAAGTGCATCGAACATACTTCTTACCCTTTTCTAATTTGAACACTATGTTGTGATGCAGAACTGCAACAACATATAAAGTGCTTCTCTTGCGTCTGTAAGCAAACTGATATGGATCAATATGCTCTTTTATCTCAGGCTGAAGTGGAAGTATTAATAATTTTTCCATGGTTTTGAGGAAGGGTGAAGTTATTGCAATAGGTCTAAATTTTACATTCTTATCACCAGATGCTTTCTTGGGTACAGGAATTATCTTCATCTTTCTCCACATTTTTGGTATGAGATTAGATGAGAAGGATCTGTTAAAGATTGCTGTGAACGGATGACACAGAACGTCAGCACATTTTTTAAAAAGGATGTTTGGGGTACCATCAGGTCCCAAACATCGAGATGAATTAAGCGACTGCAGACATCTTCGTACATCAGTCTCAGTGAAAGTAGGAACACAGCTATTATTTAAACCCGTGGATAGAGAGAGCATCACATCAGATGACTGACGTACAAAAGACTTATTTAAGTCACAAACATTTACCTGGTTATCGCTTCTAAACTGTCTGTCACCTGTAAGTTCTTTAAAGAGTTTCCACATACTTGGAGAGTTTTTGCAAGACAAGAGTTTTTGAGTAAACATACAGTTGAGACGTCTAATCTCTAGGTTTATCAGACCATTTAGCTTACGAACTTCATTAGAGTTCTTCTTGTACATTCTTTCTTTCATCCTCCGTAGTCGTTCTAGTTGTGTAGATGTAAGTCGATCAAAACTTACAAAAATGGTTTCAGTGGGACAACAAATATCAGAACAGAATTTAAAGTAACATGTGATAACATAAGTAGTGTTTTCCAGTGAGTCATTTGTAAATAATTCCCAGTTAGTCGTATGAAACATGTTTTTTAGATTTCGGATATTTTCTTCTGAGTAATTCCTATATTTGACTTTCTTGGTTTGATGTAAGAGTGTACTCTTCCCATGCTTTCCATATACTGTAGGTAGAACACGAATTATACAGTGATCTGAGCTAGATAATGAGGCACGTTTACGAGTCGCATATATACCCACATCATTAATGAAAACGAAGTCCAAATGAGCATCCAAACGAGTAGGAAAATCTACTACGTTTTGGTGACCTAGTGACGTAAGGAAGCTACAGTCACATGAATTGAAATCACCACATACAACTGAAAGTGAATCAATGAAGGCAGTAACAGCGTACTCAGTGAATTCATCAGCGAAAACAGATAGTGCAGATGATGTGCAATCTGGAGTCACGTAGATATTGGTAACATAAACATATTTGTATTTATTCAGATGTTTTGGACGACATCTTAGGAAACTTAAAACACACAAACGAAGATCGACACCAGTTTATGTTTACAAACGTAGCTACGTCGCCACCACACCTCTTTTTATTGTTTGATCGACCCTGACGATAAATTATGAAATCACGTAGTGATACTAGGCAGTCATCCTGTAAATCATTTAACCAAGATCCTTGGATTGTGATGACACCATAATTACGATACATATTTTGACTTAGTAGGAACTGCAGATAGTCCACTTTGTTTATTAGTCATCGACAGTTAGAATTTAGCAGCTCTGTAATCGACATACGATTAATATTCATTCACTTTTAACGCATATTACCAACCACCACGATGTCTTTTATAGTACTTTTTTATAGCCTGTGCAGCGAAAGGTCGTCGGCTTTTCATAAAAGCGCCTGAATAGGTTAAGCGATTAATGGACATAATTATAAGTTAAAACAAACGGAAAAAAACAGATAACTTGTTGAAATAATCAGATGGCAGAAACAGGTAGCCCAGATATTTAAGCAGGCCGCCGTTTTTTGTGCTGGGTTTACCGTACTATAAATTATAATCATCATTACTAGTCAAGTGATTGACAATCACAAGAAAGAATACGATGGAATTTTTCGACTATAAACTGAAACTATAAATAAATCGAAAGAAATAAAGCATTATGTTAGCGGGACATAGACTGGATTAAAGCATGCTCAATGCACGATTGCTTTGGTGCGCGCTGATTGGCTAATTCTTATTCAATCAGCACTAGTCGATACTTGGAGAATACTCTAGAATCTTCTCATGTAAAAACTATAAATATACTAACGTTTTCCCTATTGTGCTTCTTACATGATTCTTGCTTCCATTTAACCTTGTCATTTGGAATATAATCTCTTTCCTGTTCAACCGTGTTCTGATTTGGGGTCTTGTCGAGTGATTTGGTGTCAAAGAATACTAAGCAATAGGAATAGCTGGGTTATAACCGTAAGAAAGAGATTATAACACATTAAGAAATACAACAGATGGAAGGTTTAGAAGTGGACAAAATTTTTATATTAACAGATTCATTAGCAATGATCTTTCAATTAATGGACATGAGTTTAAAATGTTGACTGGAAACATTAAATACTAACATTTTACAGAACGATTCAATATTCGATAATAGGCTTACTTGAATTTAAAACGAAATCACATGAAAAGAGTTTTCTATAAAGCTACGTTTTCTTATGTCTAGTCCACATTCCTGATCAACTTTTGATCAAGGTTAATTGATTCAATATAGCGACACACTGTGTCTAATGTTGACTATTCAATGGTGATCGACAGAAAGCCTCAAAATATAGTATTTATGTTTGTATACACCCGAAACCAAGACCTATGTTCAGCATTAGAGGAACATATGCTTCCTTCCAAGGTAATTTGGTGGCTTTCTCTTTGGTTGATACACTGATCGAAGCAAATTTGAATCAGATATGGAGTATCAATCACCTGATATGTGTCGACTAGCACAGAAGATAGGTTCGTAGTTGACTAACTCTAATCATCTAACAGAATATTTTCAATGTTAATGTACTTTGGCTTACTAGAATGCACATATTCAGTCAGTCAGTAACAACGTAGAACTTCGTACGTACGTACACCAGTTCGAGTTGCCACACCACATTAGCATAGAGATGCCGTGGTCGATTCAAATCCCGTAGTGGTAGAGGTAATAAGAGTATAAGCAGTAATCGGGAAGATTAGTGTTTAGAGATGTTACTTAAAGAGTATAATACAGTGAAATAAATTTGGGAAGAGAAAAAAAAGACAAGGAGGAATAAGGAGATTAGAATTTGGGAGAACACAGAGTGTATGCACCCGAGCCATTGCAAACGATTTTCAGCCATGTCATTCAGGGTCTCTAACCATCGGTTGCTATCATCTCGCGGTCCTCAACCAGGTAGTCTACACCTACCGACATGACTCAGTTCACTTGTCAGTGATTTCATGAACTTGTGCCATGTTTTGGTCTGGCTGCCCCTTGCTTTCTTCCAACCTACTCCTATACCACTGAACATCGCACGTCGAGGCAGTCGGTGGTTGAAAATACGAAACACGTGTCCCAGCCATCTCAACTGATGAAGTTTCACTACGTCATCAATTGATTTGCCATCCTTACCTAGTACCCGTTTCCTAACAACCGCATTACTTACTCGATGGTCCCAGCATATACGAGCAATACTTCGAAGACATCTATGATCAAATACTAGTAACTTACGAATATCTTCTACTCTTACCGGCCATGTTTCACTGCCATAAAGTAGGACGGAACGAACTGCTGTGCAGTAAACCCGTCCTTTGGTTGATAGACGGATATCTCGCCTACGCCATAAATGACGCAAGTTGGTAAAGGTTAGTTGAGCCTTCTGTATCCATGCTGAGATTTCGTCGCACACCAGACCACAAGGGCTGATGAGACTTCCAAGATAAGTGAAGCGATCGACACGCTCAATTACTTCACTCCCTATCATTAGTTCGGGTGTCAATGCAACCCAATCCTGAAGCAACATTTTGCATTTCGAGGGGGAGAATCGCACCCCGAACAATGCACATATTATTTCAATAAATAAATACTTGTCATCTCAAAAAACATACAATACAGTGAAAAATCGATGAATACAATACCTTTTGTTAAAAGGCTGATTGAAACTCATAAAAACTTTGAATTAGAAGTACAACAAACAAGAGATTTCTTATCATAAAAAAATATAAACTGAAATCTTACTTTCCGGTTGCCATTGTCATGTGTTTCGCTAACCATTCCGATTTTTTCAATACCCTAGGTTTTTTTTTCTTACGTTTCAATACTTGTACAACTGTGAGAACAGTAAAACAAAGGTTTTTTGAAATGAACAAGATTACAGTAAAGTAGAATAATAATAAAGGGAACCCATAAGGGATCCCGTTAGGTTAAATTTCTTACTTCAATCCTATACAATGACTTTGATAACTGAATCACTGAACGACAAAAAAATTACAATATGATATAATTCAACAGTTTTCAAAATATCAGAATAATATATTGTACCAACTAGATAAAAGCAATGGACATGCATGCAAATAGTCAGGTAGATACACTAAAGTTAATAAACATCCATATACCATGTAGATCACACATGGGAGACAGTCACAAAACAACACACAATGTAACTACATTTCACAAGCACACAAGTTTTATACATTTGGCTTTGAACCATACTTTAGTTGTGTGATAGCCAGTAGTACTATCGCGGTTTATTTATTTATTATTTATTTTAACACATAGAGATTGGTACAAGGAGGCACCAAATACATATGCGCCACACAAATCTCATTCGATATGTGTGAGGGCTGTGATACTACCCGGGTGCCCAAACCGAAGCAGGTCGTTTTCTTAGAAGGCCACTCCCCGAGCCTTCGACCTAAAGGTCTGATCCACAAGGCAGTGGAGCATCGTAAGGAGATGCAGTCCCATGGAAGCCGGTGACCAACAATTGGTTCATACGCCATTTGTCCACGCAGGATACTGGAGCCCATGTGCACCATCAGTTTGGAATCCGGTTAAAGCGCCGAACATTCGCTTTTCGTCCTCTCATTTTTGTAAACAACAGCCCCGCCGCGAGAAGGCAGTGAGTAGGACTTCCTTGGCAGAGGCTATATACGCGTGGCCATGTGAGGGCATTTCGAGAGGGAGAGCGGATTCTCCCCACTCTCGTACGTACCCGGGCATTTGGAGGTATACTGAAATAGGTGACATAAGGTTCAAGCTAGTGGACAAGTAGTTGTAAGCCGAGTGATTTAACTACTAAACCAATACAAATTGTTAATCAGCTGGCATGCTCTAAACTATATAGTGGATTTAATCAATTCAGTATAAGTAATATGATATTAATGTTAAAGACTACAATCGAATGTAATCGAGAAGCTTTAAAAGGATAATCACTTTTAATGATAATGTAACTTTTAACGGTGAATCCGATAAAACACGTAGAACACTCATCTATTTCATAAACTATCTAGTAATAAACATTCTAAACTACACTCGGTAAAATTAGGACGGAGAATAAGTGATGTACAAGGGATTTAGAACGCAATTACCAGCTTATTGCAATTCAAATCCAAAAACTCACATAGGTACGTATTCTGATATAACACAGTTGTTAAGTACGAGTTTATCTGCTTCCCTTGTTTGTTTAAACATTAGCGATGTCAGCTGTCTTTCAAAATTAAATTACGTTGGGTGGAGTCCGAACCAGTGACGGGATGTTTTAATCACGTAAATACAGCTATGCAATACGTAAATTAACTTATCTACCAGGTATTCGGGTATGAGCCACACTAAAAATATGGAAGCCAATGATGCTACTATCAAAGTAGCTGAAGCAGAGTGTGAACCTGGAATTTAGTGACTGAACGTTGAGCGCCTTATCCACTAAATTATCGCTTAACAACTAGATAACTTTAAAAACCCTCGAAAATAAAAATTAGCAGTGGAATCCATGGCACATGTTTCGTCCTCCTTTCGATTCGTTAGATGGATGTACCAGCATCCTCGAGTTGATGTTCACTACTGGGCTTGAGCCCAGTACCATTCACTCCAAACGCTGTCGAGTTATCTACCTAGCTACTAAGTTCAGATAGCCACTAACTTGTGCAATGGGATCCAAATAACTAATACATATGAACTCGAAAGTAAAGTTTCAAAATATTTACCGATATTTGAGCATAATCATATACTCATTTAAAAAAGGTTGACTAACCTAGATTTGCACTCTGAAAAAAACATTAATCATTACTTACGTTCGGTATGGTATAAAAATCGTTGAAAACGAAATGAGTGTTCAAGTTTATCAATAGTATCAAAAGCCGAGAAATAACGGAACGGAAACTGCTTCCCTTCTATAATAATACGCTGTAGGCATTTAAAAAACAACAGAAAATATACTAATTTTTGTTGGATTTAGTGACTATGATAAAAACTGAAATTAAACATTATTCAACATAATTTGGTTTCTGATGAGAACAATGTAAAAACCAGAGACTTGATCACAGCAAACAAATGATTTGGTTCAAGAGTTCATTCTGTATCTACCTCTAAATCATAAGATTCGTATTGTTCCACATTCTTTAATTTCATTCTTCCCTCTCAAGCTATCCACTTTTCGTTTTTAGATTTCTATATTCAAATGATAATTACTATTATATCCCAAACTTTGCTGATCATCTTGCTAACTTATTCCATCTGTTTCCCTGTCTTCATTTCGTTATGTGTAGTGTGACGATTTGTATCAATGTACACAATTGTACCAGATCCTATGCTGTTTACAATTAACCGACTGACAGAACCTAACCAACGTGATGACATTCATTAAATTTTCAGGATATTTTTTCAACTCCTCATCCAAAAAAATAAACAATTATGTGCAAAAAGATGCATAAATATTCAGTAAGTATTATTAGTAGGGTGCTGCAGTGTTATAATTGACAACAACGGAGCGATGAATCAGTCAACTGAGAACCCTACTTTTGGTCACGAAGTCATTTTATCGAACGCCAACCTATCAACTTCAATCTGAGCAAACGATTAATAGTATCACTGGGTCACATTCGAAATCTAGTTCTAAATCGAGTGTACCAACCTGTACCTAGCTGATGAGTTAGTAATAACAATGACGTTAATAAAACACTCACTAATAACTTAATATTGTTTTAAAAGATAGAGATAGCTGGCCGACAGTCCTGAATAGAACTTTTTGTTACAGTATGAAATTTACTGCTGTGAGATAAAATTCACCCTCATATATATATATATATATATATATATATATATATATATATATATATATATATATATATATAACAAGTACCACGTCAGTCAATCCATTGATTCTGTCTATGGTAAACAGACGCTTTTGACAGAATAGTAACTGTCATGTTACGCGATTAGAAAGAGGCAATGCGAGAATCTGTTGTAAACACAAGAGTAAAATAATTAAAAAACACTTACGGGATCTGTAAGCCTTTTTAAGACTATCTCATGAAGACCACCTTGAATACCGGACATCAAAATATTGCGCAGATTTCTTAACATCGCCATATGTGGGACTTTGTTTAAAGCTATGATAGTTAATAAAAGTTAATTTATAAAATACCACGTATTTTAATATACAATCATACAGATACACCAAATGAAATAAATGGTCAACTCAAAAGTGGGAATATTATAAGTCAAATTATTGTTAACACTGTTTAAATTACAGCTAATGTGAACCAATTTTAAGACAAAGTCATACAGCACTTGATTTTATATCTTGATGATTGTGGAAAAATGCACGAAACCGAAAAGGATCACACTATATATACACTCTGTCTGAATACTTATATTTTGGAAGTTTGAACCGTTAATCACATACATAGATGAAGTTTATTCATGACTAACTCTTATGAGGTAATCAGAAAGTATTTATTAGCTGAAGCCACAAAGCAGCTTTAGTTTTTATGCAAAAAAATGACTATAAAATACAATAGCTTGCCCCCATTTTACTTTGTGACTGGGACATAACCACTGAACTCAGAAGACGTTAGAGGACCACAGGTATTTAATTATTAATGGTGTTAGAAAGTCAATAACATTTTATGTAACTAGGATTTGAACACAACTGGAATTAAGTGTAAAGTTAGAGAGGAAAAGCATACATTAGTCAATGAACGATTCGACCTAAATTAACTCAAATGATTAAAATGTTATCACACCTAAATCATATTATATGTGACAATGCAAAATACAATGGAGGAATTTCGATGTTGTCATGCTTCAGTTTATACAAATAAATAGTATCGACAGACCACATACCGAAAGCGTACCTTAAATGTAAGTTCATGATCGACATTATATTTATTACTACTGTGCAGATGCCAACGATTCAACAACAAAAATGCGTAGAATGGAAAATATATTAGTAGCATGATTATTTAGAATACTTATTAGCGAATTTTTCACTAAACTAGGTAACTCTGCAATCTTGTATTACACCAATCCGTATGTAATGATCAGATAAATGTTTTTTTCTAGATGCAACAACACTACAGATAAAAACCAAGACTATTTTTAAGTTATTTTTTATTATGATTTTCCCCAAAGTGCTAAAAATATTCAACATACTATGGAACTTACTTATAAGTTTTGACCAAGAATCTGAATTGTTTCCATTGACTGATAATTCTGTTTCCCATGTAACAGGAATAGGAAACTTCATACATGTACCTGCTTTGGATGAATCCCAATCTCCTTCCAGTCCCATACGAATAAAATCAGTAATATCCGATGGGTAAGGTTTTCCCAGAACGCACATAACGTTGAACTTGGGCCTTGATATATGCAATCTACGAATGAGCTCCTTTATTGTAAAATATATACGAGGTGAGTGTGCCAATCTATATATAATGGCATCGATATCCTTACTGACTACTACACCATTTTGGCTTCTTTTCAGAGCCTAAAGAAGATCACAAACCAATAAATAACGAATTACCTTCGATTTCTTTGAACGATTAGCTCTTCCTCTGGGTTTGGAATGTTTAGCTGTTAAAGTGAATTTAACAAATAGAAAATCATCTTACCAAGTTGGTACTGATCAAATTCAAGGAACTTTGATGTCATACTATTCCGTAAGACTTTTGGCATACCTTTCAAACTTGGATTGCCACTTATCATCTTTAAAGAGATTATTACATTTTTCGAACTTACTGCATAGTATTCGGCAACCTCTATCCAGTCTGACGGTGTGCGAATACACGAAGAAAAGTATTTCTTAATAAAAGATCTAGACCGCTCATTACAGCTAGCAACAGCTATTAACATATTGGTTGTTGTACGTATATTCAACTCTCTACGGCAATACAAAGCCGCCTAAAATCTAACGTTTCTTAAAAATGTATAAAGTACTTTAAGTATAAATTCTGGATCTTTATCAATACAAGAGTGAATTGATTGTCCCAAAACAATTTTCTTTTCTTTAGATGGACTGCCATCGACTATAGAGGAGGATATGCAGCTAATTAACTCTAGCTGCAAGTTTGAATACATTAAAGAATGTATAATCACATACTTTCAGCTGTTTGTAGGTATCTCTGCGTTCGTATGTCAGTAAATCACCAAATGTGTTATGAATAGAATTTCTCTTCGTAGAATCATCAACCGTACATTCTAGTATATTTTGAAAACTAGTATCTGAAATTTTGATTATAGCGTCGTTTAACCAGTCGATAGGAGTTGATTTAAGTGAACTTGGAACACTTGTTTTTTTCTCCTCATGATGCCTATCATTAGGTCCGACTGTTACTTCGTGATCACAATGTAGGATTGAACCTGTGTATGATAGACTGATGGATGATTTTAATGATTTGTTATTTAATGAGAGCGAAGAAAGTGTATTGGAAGCTGATGAAGTTTTAGTGAAAGGTTCATCTAAAAGTTTGTTTTTCACTAAATTCTTTCCTTCCAAATATACAGGTGATAACAATGAAGAAGGCCCTTTAAGATGTTCAGATTCATGATCCATTTTCATAAATTACAAGTGCATTGGATTTTAATATAATCTTTGCTAGGAACTAATTAATATTAACTGAAAATGATGGAAACCACAGAAATTTACAGGGACCCAGTAAGGCAGATTCTGAAAAGAACAATAAAGAGTAAAATTGACGAAAATATACTATATATTTAATAAACAAGCCGTAAGAAAATACTCTTTTTGAAACCTGCACATGCTGATCTGGATATTTTCACCTAAACCTCTGATAAAAATCCTAAAAAGAGAAAACTGATAATTTACTTACTGATTGACTGTACACTACAATCTTTTATCAGTTTCTTTTTTAGGAAATATCCATTCGTGAAAATTTCATAGACACAAGCAAAATATACTTTGAATGTTTGTATGAAATATAAATATCTTAAATGCAAGGTAGTGTGATTAAAACACTCATCATACCACTAAACATTGATCATTAGTATAGATGCCATTAATTACTTGGACTACGTCGTTCCCTCAGTAGTGGTACTCGTTTACACAGAAACGTCAGAAATGAAATCTATTTATACATTCATAATGTCCGCCAGCTGACGCTGACTTCAGGGGTTAACGTAACTGATAATTAATCATTCATAAAAAAATGAAAATGAAGGGTAAGACAAGTTAGTTAAGGATGGAAACAGTCATATTTAACTCTGGATGCATTTAAAAACATTAGCAGCAATTCCTGAAGCTAAAAGTTCGAAAATGTAGCACTGAAAACAAATTCAATGAGATTTAACCATAAAACTATCAGTCAGGCCATCAAGCCTCCTGTCTTTTTGAAACTGAAACTGTTAAGTAAAGTGAATACATGCAGTTTTATAAACACTTAAGCGCCTTTTAAGATAGTTAATATCGCACTAAAGTGCAACTGATGTGAAAAAGGAAAACACGATGTGAGATATTAATTACTCCTGACGTGGATAATGATAAAATTACTATCGTTATCATTGATGGTAAACCTCTTCCATGCGTTCAAGAACATAAAGACTTAGGGGCGAGACTCTAATTTAGGGACGAGCCAATCAGAAGCGTTTGAGCAATTTCAAAGTCACGTTGCCAAGTTCAAAACGCGATGCTAACATACGATCGGTTCACAACGGATTTTATAGAGGAGGTGTTTATTGAGAGGTTACAACCCTAACCTAACCCTAGGTTACAACCCTAGCCCTAACCCCTAACCCTAACGCTTCTGACTGGCTCGTCCCTGTATATTCTTCTTTTACCTGATTTAAAAACTTGTTAAGGTTTGATAAAGGTTCAGAAGTTCTGAATTCATAATGCATACAGTATAGAAACTCGTCCATAGGGTTAGGATTTAGGGCTAGAGGATAGGGTTAGGTTAGGGTTAAGGTTAGGTTTAATATTGAGGTTAGGGTTAGGTTAGGGTTTAGGGTTAGGTTTGGGTTAAGGTTAGGTTAGGGTTTAGGTTATGGTTTAGGGTTAGGTTAGGGGTTAAAGTGCTAACATGCGATCGGTTTACATCGGATTTTATAGGTGTTTATTGAGATGCTACAACCCTAACCCTAACATATGTTAGCACCCCAACCTACCCATAACCCTAAACTAACCTTAAACCTTACCCTAACTCTATGGACGAGTTTCTATACCATATGCATTATGAATTCAGAACCTCTGAACCTTTATGAAACCTTAACAAGTTTTTTAATCATGTAAAAAAAGAATATCCACTGTAGTTCATTATTTACTTACATTATATTTTCACTTTATAGTGACTGTCTCTTGATTGGCTAATAATTGTCAAGGTCATTTAAGATTCGTTCACTAAATTAGAGTCTCGCCGGTTTGATAAAGGCTCAGAGGTTCTGAATTCATAATGCATATAGTATAGAAACTCGTCCATAAGGTTAGGGTTTAGGGTTAGGTTAGGGTTAGGTTTAAGATTGAGATTAGGGTTAGGTTTGGGTAAATGTTAGGTTAGGGTTTAGGTTATGGTTTAGGGTTAGGTTAGGGGTTAAAGTGCTAACATGCGATCGGTTTACATCGGATTTTATAGGTGTTTATTGAGATGCTACAACCCTAACCCTAACATATGTTAGCACCCCAACCTACCCATAACCCTAAACTAACCTTAAACCTTACCCTAACTCTATGGACGAGTTTCTATACCATATGCATTATGAATTCAGAACCTCTGAACCTTTATGAAACCTTAACAAGTTTTTTAATCATGTAAAAAAAGAATATCCACTGTAGTTCATTATTTACTTACATTATATTTTCACTTTATAGTGACTGTCTCTTGATTGGCTAATAATTGTTAGGGTCATTTAAGATTCGTTCAAAGATCGTCTCTAAATTAGTCTCGCCGACTTAGGAGTTATAATAAGTCATGACTTGAAAACAACTACGCATTGCAACGTAGCTACTCCCAAAGGTTTTCGTGGGTAATGGTCACTTCGCCGAACATTCAAATGCCCTGAGGAGGTAATGTTTCGAATTGGCAAGACTCTAATTTATGGACGACCTTTGAACGAATCTTAAGTGGCCTTAAGAAATATTAGCCAATCTGCAAAGTCAGTATAGAGTGAAAATGTTATACAAAACAAGGAGATAATGTGGATACACTTTTTATACATGGTTTAAAAACTTGTCAAGGTTAGAAAGAGGTTCAGAGGCCCTAAAATCGTAATGCATGCAGTAGAGGAAATCATCTGTACGGCTACAAAACAGTCGGCCGCTGGAGCCATGATAGTCTCAAAACCTCTTTTAGCCTAGAACACATAGCTTCAATATTGTTTATGTGCACTCTGGTTGTTGAGTGCACAAAATGCTACTTGTGGATAACGACACGATGCACATAACCAAGCCTATGTAGGAGTCTCTACGCTCTCCAAACATCCGTATATGTTGCAGTACGTGGCTGCAGCCAATGTTACTGGTGCTTTTATCATCCAGTTTGCGATAATTTTCGTAATTTGCCTAAGTTAGGAATTAAATATGTGGTTTCCATCACGATCTGATATCAGCTATAATGCCAGAAAGTTATTTAGCCAAATGCATGAAAAACTTTCGCGTTGAAATCCGAAATCTATTACCTTACACTTGGTTGATTTGTCCACAAATTATAGTCTCGCCGTTTTATTTGTTATAGCCTCTCAATTATCACGTTTTGTACAAAACTCCCTGTGAATCGAACGTACGTAGCATTAAGCACTGAAGTTGGCGCCGTAACCTTGAAATCCCTAAAACGCTTATGATTGAATCATCTATAAATTAGTCTTGACGCATTTCGTATCTTTAATTATGATTTCAGTGTTAATATGTTTTATCTCTTTTCTTCCTCCAGCACTAATAATTTACGAGGTCATGGCTAGAAGGTTCACAAACTGCGATTCAAAAAAACTGAAAGTGAGGTCCCGTTTTCATCATCGAGTAGTCAGTGACTGGAATGCTTTAACAGAATAAGTGGTATCATCCCCATCAGTGAAAATTTTCAAGGGGAAACTGAACCTTCACTGGAAGTCAATCTGTTAGGATTACATGTTCACTAACCTACTATCCCACTCCTGAACCCGCACTCTATTTAAAAGGACAGTGGTATTGTTTCTCGTTTAGTTAATTAACTGTTTTGATCGTAAATTGCGCATCAGAACTACTGTTTACACTTTAATTGCATCTACCTCAGTTAAAGTGATATTGTATTGAGTGTTTCGATTTTGCTTTTGTGTATTTATTGGATCGAAGCATACTTGCTCGGCTTTTACTTGATTTATTTAGTTAAGGTTTGAGAATCCTTTTACATATCCTGTTTCTGTCACTGTTCTAGTTGATTTTCAAGATGGCTGGATCTGTAGCGTGGCGTCGAGTCGAGATCGACTATGAACACCGCTACCAAGAAGCTCGTTCCAAATGACTCCATAAAATCCCCGAGAAGCCAAATATCAGAAGGCAATTAATGGACCAAGTCGAGGTTTATTTGCTAGCGATCTCGTGGCATCGAAGGGATTCCGAGCCAGGATACAAGCTTGGTAACAGAACGTAACCGAATTCGCGCGAAGTTACAATCGAAGTGTGAGAATAAGAATGGAAGCACAATATAGCTGTCATTAGCACAGTCAAACAGAAGCACATTAAAAAAAGCACTGGTACAGTTGATTATAATAATAATTGTTTTTATTAAACCAGTCGTGTTCTCGTGATAAATGTGAGTCACTACAGATCTGCTCATAAATATGGACAACCATATTACTTATTTCCCGTGGAGGAAGGGATTCAATGTGATGAGTGTAATAAGTGATTCCATAAGATGTGCACCCTATTAAGCCTCACTGCATATAAAAGGTGCTCAAAGCACAACTCTCTTTGGCTTTGTAGTTTTTGTTGCTCGAGTAAAACATTACTCATCCAGGAAGCAATTAGCCTCCTGATGTTGGCTAATAAGAAGGTTGATGAGGGCTGTACAGGCAACATTAGTACTGATGGCGAAGATTGAGTTAGTGTCGTAAGTGCTGTCACGGCACGAGCAAGACATCTAGCTGTGCAACCGGCTATTAAACCGTCTACCCCGAAACAATCAATGAGTGACACCTCATTAGATATTGGTGGCCATGTTGCTACAGCAGCAACCGGTGACTTAGATAAAACAAGTCCCATGATAAAGCTTCGTCTAACATTGTTGTGAGTCACTCGCTCGACTCCCAGGACACTGTTGCAATAAAAACTAATCGTAAGATACCAGTAGTTAAAATACAGGATCTAACGTCACAGTCGAAAGCTGTGAACACAGTTTCAAAAGAAGCTAAACCCCTTCCTTATTTAATTATTTCGAATCTGGAGGGGTCGAAAGACAACGACTCTGCTAGAAGACATGTAGTGGCATTGGACCATAACCACACTATCCTCAAAACTGAATACGAGATTACTCGGAAAATAGGTATTCAATATTTAACGCGAAGAAATACCTAACGATGGAGAAGGCGCGAATAATGAATTGAATAGACTAGAGTTGATCGAACGGCATGGCTCGGCCATGCAGGCGTGGTCTCTGCTGAATGTTACCTTACATCTTCTTTTCATATTAAATATATTGTTCTTTCTCTAGCCTAACCTTGTTCTACATCATGTATTGGTAATTGATACGATACAGTGAGTTGATGTAGTCGATGGTGTGACTTCCACGTAAGATCTTATAGATTAGGCAGTCATATCATGACAAATCTACAAATTTAGGATTAGGTCTATTATTAGAGCAGTACAAATATCATAGTAGATCATAAATTCTACATTGGTGAGCCCAACTAAAGAAACGCAACCTATTATTGTTAATCCTTATTTCCACCTTAACCTTCTCAATCGGTTTTTATTTTTGTAAACCCAGTATTCTAATAGTCCTTTGATTAATGATCACATATATTATCGTAATGTTATATCTATTAGTTCACATAACTTACTAGCTCAATCGATAATAAAAGTTGATCATCTATATCAACTAATTAGCTTTGATAGTTCGTTAACAAGCTTTAATAGCATTTACCTGCTTCAGCGACATAAACTTGTTTAAACATCAAGCTCTAGCAAATATGACCTGTAAATAGCGTAAATATACATTGGCTAACAATGCAATCAAGGATTGAATAGTTATCTGGATCTAATTCTTAGTGTTTCTTCGCTTAACACCTCATCCTGTTTTAAACTATGCGCTATCCTTTTCTTCCGACCACCGCCTGCCTAATTTCATATTCTCGAGTTCCATTGCCAAACAACAAGGATGACACTTCTCTAAAAACATACGGTGAGTTTCAGCCATAAGTTTCCTGCAATCATAAGGTCATTTTAGATGGCTCGTTCAATGGCTGACACAATTATCTGGATTCATTCGATTGTTTTGATCTGAGCGAGTGGCAACAGCATCAAGCACCCTGGAATTAATTGCCATACTGCATGTTTTATTGTGGATACTTTTGGATCATTACTCCTCACGAATGGCGTTATATATGTCGTCCACTGAATAATCTAATTTTCAAAAATAATCCAGGCGAGTTCAACTATTTTACTGGATGATTTTTCTGTACTTAACATGTATATGTTTTCCAGTTGCGTTTGCCACATATTTATAAGTGTCCCTAGGCTAAATGCAGTAACTTCTTATGGAATGTTTATAACGTATCATATTCCTGCCTGGAGTTTTATAAGCAGTCTTAGCTTGAATATTATTTTCTGGTCATGTCCATTATTTTTAAATCGTCATATACGTCAACAACCTGCATGTTACCCTGGCCCGTACATGCGTTGCACTATATCTCCATGTCTTCTAAATTTAGAAATCATCTGGATCAACTGCACTAGTAAAATAACTAAATCCCTAGGTATCTGTTGGTTAAACAAACGTTTAAAATTAAAACTCCGTAGCCTACTAGAATTAACGCTAAACGAATCTTTCTGAATTAAAATTTATAATTACATTAGGCGTCTCGGATTCTTTAACGTTACAAATTTCTGATGATTTCGAATCACCTAAAGCAACAATACCTATTTTTCCACTGACATCCACAATCAACATTATAACTAGTTAAACTTAATAGTTTCAGGATATCGTCATAAATCATTGTCATGACTTGACAATCACGTAATATGATTGATAAAATTAATGAAACTAACAAAATCGGTCAGCAAATTTACTTATAATTACCACTAGTGTTGCTTTTCTTTTATCTTGATTCACTACAGATGATTACAGTATGTTTCTCTATCAGTTGCTCACTCAGTAAATATCTCGAAACCTTGTCAGTCTAATTGGAGGTTTAGCGACACAATCATGCATGCAAATAATCAGTATAAGCAGTCGAGCAAATATCCTGCAAACTGAAAACATCAATGTCGAATTTACCCCAACACTGACTAAGGTTCAAGCTATTATCATAGGCATGCGTTGGGAGTGTACTCCCCTCGGTTACAACTTATGTTCTCCCTGATAATCACATGAGCATCACTCACTATTAATCATCTTGTAAAAAATTATTTAGCCAAATACACCTTGCAGCACCACATCACTTAGTAATATGACACATAGGTTTAACTAATTTCAATAACGTATAACCACTATATCTCAATTAAATCGTGTTCCGCCTTATGATAAACTGCATACTTTCAACTAACTTGTATACCCAATCCGCCGGCAAGTATAGATATAAATAAATAGTCTGCCGCAGATCAGAACATTGAGTCTAGAGCATGTCTCTTAAGAATACACTCATGTTTAACGATTTGTTCCTAGCTATCTGTCCAAAATTCACATAATTACCACTCACGTATTTAAATTTTGTTTTGATAACCATTCATGTGTATTAGTAGTATTACTAAATTCTATCACGGTCAAGTAAAAATGAGGTTGAGAAAATCTCCCCGTAACTAAACAAACCGTATCAAACTAACTGGAACACTAGTTGGAATTCTTCTCCACGGTAATACTTTTGTTCCTTCAGTTAGCCTACTAATACAGATGCAATTGGAAATCGACTCATATGGACAACTTACCGGCATAATCGTTATTTGATTTCATAAGTTAGACTAAAAGTAGTACTAATATTAACATTTCTACAATATTCATAACTTTAATATTTCTAAACACAAAATACTTACTACCTATACGTTAAGTTATCAACCAACGGCTATTACACACGCATCGTTTTATTATTACTATTATTGTAATCCCATTTTTTTATCGCACAAATAATCACTCAAATTTTCATTGTAAGCGTGTTAAGCATGAAGGCAGATATTTTAAATTTATTACATGTATTTCCCGACCAGATGCTGCCGTCTTCTTTTTGATTTATCTTTCAGCTTGTCATCACCCGGAGGAATCTTACTATTCTTGGTAACCTTCGGCACACTACAGTCCCATCCAATTGGGTATCGAACCAACACCACGTTGATTCTGGTGGGAGAGTAGTGTAGTGGCATTGGACCATAACCACACTATCCTCAAAACTGAATACGAGATTACTCGGAAAATAGGTATTCAATATTTAACGCGAAGAAATACCTAACGATGGAGAAGGCGCGAATAATGAATTGAATAGACTAGAGTTGATCGAACGGCATGGCTCGGCCATGCAGGCGTGGTCTCTGCTGAATGTTACCTTACATCTTCTTTTCATATTAAATATATTGTTCTTTCTCTAGCCTAACCTTGTTCTACATCATGTATTGGTAATTGATACGATAC